CTATAATCTCATTAATTCTAACAGATTTTTTTATTTTTAAAAATGGCGCTACTTGTCGGAACATCCGCCAGTCTGAGGATAAATGGTATTTAGGTTTGTTTTCACCGAAGTTACAAAATCAAAACTACTTTCTACTGGTAGTAAAATATGTATTTTATTGATGGCCAATAGGATTTTGCATGACATAGCGTATAACATAACAATTTCTCTCGTGGCAGCGAGGTGGGTGTCAATGTAATACTACTTACAATATTATTGTTACCCGACCACAACCTCACTTCCGAGGAAGAAATCGTTATGTTACAAGTTGTGTCATAGAAAATCTTTATGGTCATCAATCATATGCATATTTTACTACAACTAGTAAGTAGTTTTGATTCTTTAACTCCGCGGAAGCCGATCTGAACACAAGTAAGATATCGCTTCAGGCTTCCACAACGCTAAACGCGACTCACAAACATAACCCATTTAGCACCTAAACTGCAGGGTCCGTGGGAAATCTGTGCATGGGGACACCATCGCCTCGACCCTAGGAGCAATTGACGACAAAGCAACGATTCGGCATGTCGCCGTTGATGTCGAGAAATCATCAAAATGATGAGCGTGCTACACATTTTCTATACAACTAACTGAAAATCGTTCCTCATATGACGTCACTGCAGTGCTCTGGCGACAGAGTTACGTAACCTGTCTGTGGTTTCGTTGGCGGGCGAGAGGGAAGCAGGCGACTTTTTGGCCACTTTTAATCGCTCGGTATTAATTAACCACAAGTTTTTAAAGAATAAATTTGGTGTTCCACATAAGACTAACCACAAATCTTTCATATGTAATGGTTAAAAGAGTAACAAAAACAAAGTTTATTGGTTCTTTAATTTATGGAATGTGCTGTATTCGCTGTAAGAGGATGTGTATTGCTGTGGAGTGCTTGAAGAATGTCAGCAAGAATGACAACCCGATCCCATTAGTCACCTCTTACGTAGTGTGCGAAATAGCCACTGGCCTGCTAACCCGTGGCTAGTAAAAATCCAGTCGGTCCAGTAACTCTCCACAGTCACAGGCTTGACTGGCTAGTGAATTTTCATGGGGTCATTTTGTAAATATATCATTCTACATTATCGTGTCTACATTCAGATTTCAGACTAGTTTATTATTCTGTGGGCTAGTAACTTTCAGGCATAGCTAGCCCGACTGGATTGCAAAATTTGGAAACTATTTTGCACACTGCTCTTACAACAAGGATGGATTCCAGAAGACCAATTTACACTTGCATTTTACTATTTTGCCTTTTCTCACTACTGTTTTAGCTTTGGGAAGGCCTGGTAGCCTGGGTTTTTTTACGTACAAGAGCTGTATGTGTTAGTGGGACGGCATGAACTGAGTGTTCCTGCGAGCACTACAACATCTGCAGCTACTGATCGTAACATAATCTTTTCATGGCCATGTTTTGCAGCATGAGCAACATGAAGTATGACGCCAGGATCGGATTCTTGATGACTGCAAGGGACAAGTGAAGACATTTTCATCAAATGTTTTGACAGTACCAGGTTGCAACTTTTGAGCAGTGACAGCTCCATCAGTACTTAAGTATAGTGGTAACAGCTGGTGCTTCTGATATTGCTGTAACATATGCGTCTATATGTGCCAACAGGTCACGTTTTGTACCAGGGCGAAAGCATCCAGTTTCTAATAGGGATGGTGTCTGCTTTTCATGCTGATCAGAATCATCTTAATTTCCCTACATGATTGACCCTAATGATAAGAGTTCTATGGCTCTCTTCATTGTTTCCAGCTCTTCTTTACCCCTTTTACGTCTCTTATTAATCAATCAAAGTTAAAATAATACGTAAAAGACACATACTGTTACTCGGTTTTGTTCTGTCCACAAACTTTCCTTTGTAAAGGTCTCGAACTGCTCACTTCCTATGGTGAGTAGGGATCCCATGTTCATATGATGCGATGGTCACGAGCAAAGTGGATTATAAATTTCAAAATTGAAGTATGAGCACAACAATTTCCTGAAATTATTTAAAGGACGGCAGTACTAAAAAGTAACTTTTTTGACAAGGCAAGAAGCAGACGTTCGGAAAATACATGATGGCAAGCTATTGGTTTGCATGATTGCATGATACAGGGGGAAGTCCTGTTGCAACATTGATGCTAACTTGTACATAACCACATGGCAATTAGTCCGCTTAAGAGGAATCGGTGAAGTAAAGTGTGGTGTAAGTCTTGGCAGACTGAGGAACATCAATAACCATGATGGTCGGGTCCAGATTCATCTGTCAAGACATCAGCATGATAAACCTTGCCGAAGAACTGCAATGGAGAGTGGGATACTCTCAGATTCTCCATTATTACCATTAGAATTAGAAGGAGGCTGCGACGTCTGAGGGTACGTCGTTCGATCAGATGTTCCTTCCTCACAGATAGGAACAGGCAGAAACATCTGGTGTGTTGCAAACTCCAAGAACTGCAACTTGAAGAAATGGTGGAGGGTTCAGTGGTCTCATGAAAGTTGCTTTCGTCTACATGTTGCCCACGACCCTTGTCATGTATAGAGACGTCATATCTTCAGGAGATGATCTATGCAGCTGAATTCATCAGTATTGGTGTAGGGTTGCGTTTTGTATGGCTGCAGGGTGGATCTCATTACAGTACCTGGGAAACAACAAGGTCAACAGTTTCAAAATGAAGTACTGGATACGGCCATGGGGCCACATCTTGTCACCTTTGCTAATCGTCAGATATTCATGGATGACAACGGTAGGACGTCTCATGCTGTCATCACCCTTTTTAGAGAACAATTCCATTGAAACATTACCAGACTTTATAGTTAGATGCCAAGTTTAAGCTGGACCTTATCCTGTTCAAATGCTGGCAGTAAATGGTGGCTGCACATCATACTGGTGTGGTCGCCTGTGGAGGTTCATATGATCAGAACAACAATTGTTTAAAAACAGTGTGACAATCAGATTTGTGGCGTAGTCATGGTGACCATATTTTCCAGCATTGTTGATGATCACGTTTTTGTGTATTCTTCTCAGGTTGCAGTTATGTGTTACCATGTTTCAATTTCAGTATTGTTTTTGTTGAAATCAGGTTAAAATGATTTACAGTTACCATTTTAATCCGTGTAATTTTGATTTTCAAGGCATATGCATCAATATGTGTCTTCTTACCCATCTTGAAAAGTGGGTTATTGCATGATTAATGCTCGTGTATATATTTCATTATAGCCTTGAGCATGAAGTCCAAATTCAATATAGTAACGTGATCATTTGTGGTATAACTGCTACAGGGCTGTGAGTTTTAATGTGTCACCATGAGTTTTTTTTCTAATAAAATATTTCATAAACTAAGTGTATTATGATCAACCATCCTGGAAACCAAAACCTCACAACTTAATTTTGCAGAAATGGTATTTGCTGAAGGTAACGCTCTAGAAAATATTTTATCTGATATTTGTAAAATCAAATCAGGCAAAATTGTCACTGAATTGCAATGATTGAATTGGTTTAAAAAAATATGAAACAATAAAAGTATGGTTCAGTGGTGTTTACTGGAATAAATAATGAATTAAAAGATTAGATAATGACTGCTTCCTAGTGCAAAACGTGGATTACCTGCCACACTTGCCCTTGAGTCTAATGACTTTAACAGAATTTATTGTTTAATAATATCCAAAACTTTAACTTACGACTTATTGTCCTGGAGTTCTTTTTCCAAATAGTACATGCATTTTTAGTCAGTATTGATCAGATGAAACCATAACATACTTATCTTTTGACATGGAGTTCCATATTCGAAAAGCTGTCTGATACCTGCCATTTTGGATGGAGGGAGCGTTTATATTTTGGGGGGTCATTTAAATTAATGCAAATTAACTATTTCTTCTCTTTTCCTGTACCTGTAAATCTTTAATTGTTATTATTTATTATGATTGGATATTTATATAGCGCACATATCCATGCACTAGTGCATGCTCAAGGTGCTGGTATTTTCCCCCTCGATCATTGGATGTCAATCTCAACGGCACACCTTATTATCAATCTCAACTCCTGCATCGAGTTATTGTGGCTTTCTCATCCTAATGAGGTACCCATCCACAGCTGGGTGGACTGTGACACATAGTCACAGTATTCTGTCCAAGTTTACTGCACGTTGCTGTACCCGCAACTAGGTGTTTGCACATATTCATGTGGCCACCATCTGGTCATATACCAACGGATTCGTGGGTTCTTTTAAGTGCACAGGTTTGTGTACTGTATACTAGGGGTTGTGACAACACTGAAAGAGTCTGCACTCAAGGCTGACTCTAAGGTTTTTACACCCGGCACCTTATGCCTGATCACTAGCCTGGCTCCTTAGCCAGCTCGCCCACCATGCCCCATGTGAAATTGTGAAATTATTGGTTTGTAATGACTGGCTATGCTGACTACGTAAGAGGAAACTCTTTTGTCTACTGCACATGAACAGACGGACATAAAAACATATTGTGTTCCTCCATATCTGAAATTATTTCAGAAATATTCTTGAAAATGATTATCAGCTTTTGTGCTTATATCATTAAATGCACATTTTTAATGGAAACTTCATTTAAGCCACTTCACTAGATGGACTTGGGGGCAGTGGGTATAGGCTAGTGGTTAATGTGTTTGCTCATCACACCGAAGACCTGAGGTCGATTCCCCAGATGGGTGCAATGTGTGAAGCTGTGATATTGTTGGAATATTGCTAAAACCAGCATGAAACACTCACTTACTCACTCACTCACTCACTCGGGACACTGCAAGTTAGTATGTTCCTCATAATTAATAAGTTGTCATCTATATATTCTCCTCACTCCACTCACTCACTCACTCACCTCACTCACTCACTCACTCACTCACTCACTCACTCACTCACCTCACTTGCCCTGCATGTGTGTCAGACTCACTTCTAAATGAATGTTAGACATGGTGTGTTATCTCTATGAAAATTGTTTTCCATTTCATTTCCAGTTCTGCGCCAATGATCCAGATACATTTTTAAAGGCAGCTAAACTGGCTGAATCTCACTGTGATGCCATAGACCTCAACCTTGGGTGCCCGCAGAGTATAGCTCGTCGAGGTCATTATGGTGCTTACCTCCAAGACGAATGGGAGCTACTGGAAAAAATGGGTGGGTATTTTCTGTAAGCCTGGTGGTAGTGTTTGGATGTAAATCATAAACTTCGAATGTTGTCTGGAGTTGAGGAAATGCCTAGATCTGAAACCTATATATCAAAAGTAACCCCATGTGATGATCCATGATTGAAATGGACTTCAGGAACTAGTATTGGAGATCGGAAACCAAATCCACTATCGATTATCGGAGGATTGTGGTGAACGATTATCGATTATAATCGAAATATATACATTTTTAATTTAATCACCAATTTTAAGGGTTTTTCCCAGCTTTTTTCTAATTAATTTTTTTATGACTAATGCAGTCATGCAATGAAATGCATGCAAGAAAGACACTGGAATTGTAATTAAACAATAAAAGTGGTTAAAATTTTATAATGTGCATAGATTTACGCTGTTGAGCGCATGTTTGTTTGTGAATAGTCGTCAAATTTGATGGTTAGTTTACTTCATTCAAGGGTGTTATACAAAAACAACAAACTTCCGATGAATCGAAAATATGTTCTTCACAATCAATAATCATTTTTAATCCTTCTTTCAATCGATATCCGATTATTTTCGATCATCGGAACATCACTGTCAGGAACCCATGCTTTTAACAGGTGACAAACACATGTGGGTGCCCGATGACTTGGGTGATGATGCATGTCATCGTATTCCAAGTATGTAGATCGATGCTCGTAATATCAATCACCATATTGTCCAATCCAGATTTGAGTTTTTACAGATATCTGTCATATAGCTGGATTATTACTGAATGCATGTTGAAACATCAACAAAAACCAAGGAACAAATCACAATAAATCAAATATATGGATTGGTATTGTACAAGATAAAAATATTCCAACAACTCTGTCACATTGTAACAGAATCTGTTTGCTTTTAGCATGTTTTTGAACTATTTACAGGCAATCTGCCCGTATGTTTCAGTGAGACTGTGTCATGCTGACCTGAGGGTTCCCATCACCTGCAAGATCCGTGTGTTTGAGACTCTGGAGAAGACTGTACAATATGCCCAGATGTTGGAGAAGGCTGGATGCCAGGTACCTCGGCTCTCATAGGATTGGATTAGTTAAAATCTTATGCGCTTTTGTAATGTTGTCCTTGGATAAATTTTTCACTTTGTTTTTCATATAGAAATAAGATATCTGAAGGTGGTTGTTTTAATTGCCACAATATTTATACAGAGTTGCATCCCTTGTTATGACAGGATTCTATGTTCATGGGTTTGAATCCCATGTTTAGCTCCTTGGTCTTTCATGACCTGGTATGACTGTTTGTTTCATCAGAGGAGGTATTGCAATTACAGGTGTTTTCTTTGTTCATAAACAGTACAGCTATATTAAGGCAGGTGTGTTTCTTCCTTAGTGACCGACCCGTGAAGATCCGGGGTAGAATAGGTCTTCAGCAACCCATGTGCTTGCCATAAAAAGGCGACTATCTTGTCGTAAGAGGCGACTAACGGGATCGGGTGGTCAGTTTCGCTGACTTGGTTGACACATGTCATCGGTTCCCAATTGTGCAGATCGATGCTCATGCTGTTGATCACTGGATTGTCTGGTCCAGACTCGATTATTTACAGACCGCCGCCATATAGCTGGAATATTGCTGCGTGCGGCGTAAAACTAAACTCACTCACTCACTCACTCCTTAGTGACCATACTAGTGAAGATGAATTGATCATCAGCAACCCATGCTTGTCATAAGAGTGAGTGAGTTGGGTTTTATGCCGCTTTCTGCAGTATTTCAGCAATATCATGGCAGGCGACACCAGAAATAGGCTTCACAAATCTTACCCATGTGGAGAATCGAACCTGGGTCTTTGACATGACGAGCAACGCTTTAACCACTGGCCACCGCCCCTTGTTGTAAGACGCAACTTCTAGGATCAGGTGGTCAGGCTCACTGACTTGGCTGACATATGTCATCTTATCTCAACTGCGTAGAACAAAACTCATGATGTTGATCACTAGATTGTCTGGCCCAGACCTCAATTATTTACGTACAGAGCTGGAATATTCCTGAGTGCAGCATAACAAACAAACAACCTGAAGTGAACATTTGGCTGGAGGTCTGTGTGTGTTTGTTCTTGATGTGAAAGACGGTATTATTCCAGCTGCTGACTGTTCATGGCCGCACAAAGGAACAGAAGGGTCCTATGACTGGTGTCGCTAACTGGGAGTTCATTAAGGCTGTCAGGTAGGTAGACATCGGTTCATTTAGTGATGAGGCCTTCTATCATACTGTCCATAGACTCGGTATGTGATGTCAATTTGTTATGTGTTATAGATTTCATTGTAAAAGAAAACTTATCATATACATGATCACAGTAATGTTTTGTATTTTTGTTTTAAAGATGCATGATTGGTATTTAATTGAAATTTATATGTAATCAACTTGATAGGCAAAGACTTTGAGATTATGGTATATTCATAATCCCTGTAGTGTTGTATTTATCCGTTATGAAACAGAATGGCATACCCATCACATGTAATGTCCAAAAATAGATCAATAGAACTCATTTAGCATAAAAAAACTGAACTGTTCATACTGTAAACACTGACCTTATGGTTTTAGTATGATGTTGGGAAGTAGATTTCTTATAACGGTTGGTTCAATGAAAAAATCAGTAAAGTGTATTTGCAGTGTTAATAAAACTGGTTTCGGTTTTGTGATTGTGTAATCTACCAAACTCACTCACTCACACTAAATTCCTCGTGTAATTGAACAAAGCATTCTGACAGGCATATCCAGTTTCTACATCTAGAAAACGACTGACTTGGCTGCAGGGTCACATGTATGTGTTCAATTTATGTGACTTCTCCCATATACATTGTAAGCTGTGTTCATGTACAGGGAAAGAGTGCAGATCCCCGTCTACGCTAATGGAAACATCCAGTACTTCCAGGATGTGGAACAGTGTATCAAGGAGACAGGTGTTCAGGGCGTCATGTCTGCAGGTGGGTGTGTCAGTACTTCCCTGATGTGTCTGCAGGTGGGTGTGTCAGTGTTACCCTGATGTGCCTGCAGGTGGGTGTGTCAGTGTTTCCCTGATGTGTCTGCAGGTGGGTGTGTCAGTGTTTCCCTGATGTGTCTGCAGGTGGGTGTGTCAGTGTTTCCCTGATGTGCCTGCAGGTGGGTGTGTCAGTGTTTCCCTGATGTGCCTGCAGGTGGGTGTGTCAGTGTTTCCCTGATGTGCCTGCAGGTGGGTGTGTCAGTGTTTCCCTGATGTGTCTGCAGGTGGGTGTGTCAGTGTTTCCCTGATGTGTGTTTCTGCCTCCAGGTGGGTGTGTCAGTGTTGTCCCTGAGGTGGGTGTGCAGTGTTTCCCTGATGTGTCAGGTGGGTGTGTCAGTGTTTCCCCTGATGTGCAGGTGGGTGTGTCAGTGTTTCCCTGATGTGCCTGGTGGGTGTGTCAGTGTTTTCCCTGATGTGCCTGCAGGTGGGTGTGTCAGTGTTTCCCTGATGTGCCTGCAGGTGGGTGTGTCAGTGTTTCCCTGATGTGCCTGCAGGTGGGTGTGTCAGTGTTTCCCTGATGTGCCTGCAGGTGGGTGTGTCAGTGTTTCCCTGATGTGCCTGCAGGTGGGTGTGTCAGTGTTTCCCTGATGTGCCTCCAGGTGGGTGTGTCAGTGTTTCCCTGATGTGCCTGCAGGTGGGTGTGTCAGTGTTTCCCTGATGTGCCTCCAGGTGGGTGTGTCAGTGTTTGTGTCAGTGTTTCCTGATGTGCCTGCAGGTGGGTGTGTCAGTGTTTCCCTGATGTGCCTGCAGGTGGGTGTGTCAGTGTTTCCCTGATGTGCCTGCAGGTGGGTGTATCAGTGTTTCCCTGATGCCTCTGCAGGTGGGTGTGTCAGTGTTTCCCTGATGTGTGTCTGCAGGTGGGTGTGTCAGTGGGTCTTAGTGATGTGCCTGCAGGTGGGTGTGTCAGTACTTTAGTGATGTGCCTGCAGGTGGGTGTGTCAGTACTTTAGTGATGTGCCTGCAGGTGGGTGTGTCAGTACTTTAGTGATGTGCCTGCAGGTGGGTGTGTCAGTGTTTCCCTGATGTGTCTGCAGGTGGGTGTGTCAGTCAGTGATGTGCCTGCAGCAGGTGGGTTAGTGATGTGCCTCTTTGGTGGGTGTGTCAGTACTTCCCTGATGTTGCAGAGTTGGTGTGTCAGTGTTTCCCTGATGTGCCTGCAGGTGGGTGTGTCAGTACTTTAGTGATGTGCCTGCAGGTGGGTGTGTCAGTACTTTAGTGATGTGCCTGCAGGTGGGTGTGTTAGTACTTTAGTGATGTGCCTGCAGGTGGGTGTGTCAGTACTTTAGTGATGTACATGAAGATGGGTATGTCAGTACTTTAGTGCAGCACGCTTCACTAATAACATAGAGTACATCATACTTAACATGTGAAAGATGAATGATGGTTGTTCTGTTCACCTGTTATATGTACATGCAGTGCTAAAGAGACAGCTGGCAGTCTGTTCACCTGTTATATGTACATGCAGTGCTAACTGTTCACCTGTTATATGTACATGCAGTGCTAACGCTCCAGTCTATTGCAGAGGGCAACCTGCACAACCCTGCCCTGTTTAGTGGCCAGCAACCCCCAGTCTGGGACATGGTGGGGGAGTACCTGGATCTGGTCAAGAAGTACCCTTGCCCGATATCCCCAGTCATTCGTGGGGAATACCTGTCTTCAAGATACTGCACCATCGCGTAAGGGTTTTCACTTCTCGTAATAAATGGGGCCGGTGGGTTAGCCTAGTGGTTAAAGCGTTTGCTCGTCATGTCGAAGACCCGAGTTTGATTCCCGACATTGTTACAATATGTGAAACCCATTTCTGGTGTCCCCCGAAATATTGCTGGAATATTGCTAAAAGAGGCATAAAACTAAACTCACTCACTCACTCACTCACTCCATGTTATCACTCACTGTTGTAGGCTGCAGGTACACCAGGACGTCAGGGAGGAGGTGGCTACTGCGAAGACTGTGGAGGACTTCAGACTGGCCAACAAACACATCCAGGAGAAGTGTCAGGTAATGGGCAGAACCACTTTCCACCAGTCCCTCAGTTTATTGGTGAATAGTTTATAGTTTTTCCCATCTCTCTGTCGGAGTCCAAGTAGTGGGGATCTGGGCCCTATTCTACAAAGTGATTTTCATGCTAAGATGGTTGTAACTTCCATACTTTAACATTGACTTACTATAGTCTTTGTGTTAAGATCTCTTTGTGGAACCAGACTCTGCTTTGTATCCTTCCTGATCAACATACAAGCATAATAGCCAGGGCCTAGATTTTTTGGGTAGATTAGCTCAAGTATAAATTAGGGTCTTAAGCTAAGATAGTCATAAGTGGAATACATTAACATTAACTTATGACTATCTTAGTGCTAAGAGAGTTTCGAAAATCTAGGCCCTGGATAGCTGAAGCATTTAAGTTCAAGTTGATTAACCAAACAGTGAAATACTGACATTCTAGATAATGAAACCCTCTCAAGCTTGTACCTGGAACTTAACATGTGGTCCAACAATGTAATTTACGTGAGGAAAATATTAATAGCTCCTAGTTAACAGTGGCTTATCCTCAATATTATCCTTATGAGAAAATGTACAAAAATGTGGATTTGCCAAAGTAATTCTGTTGGTGTTGCATTCCTATTGGTAATACCATCAGTTGCTTCTACTTCAATCTGTAGGAGGACATGGCAAAGTTTGCTGTCTCCTCTGAGGAGATTCTGAATAGGACCAAGCTGCCTCTGCCTTACTGGATCTGTCAGCCCTACATCAGACCCGGGTGAGTAACTGTGTTTAGGGAGGGAGGGAGGAATTGAAGGTTAGTTACAACTGTGTTTAGGGAGGGAGGAAGGAATTGAAGGTTAGTTACAACTGTGTTTAGGGAGGGAGGAATTGAAGGTTAGTTACAACTGTGTTTAGGGAGGGAGGATTGAAGGTTAGTTACAACTGTGTTTAGGGAGGGAGGGAGGAATTGAAGGTTAGTTACAACTGTGTTTAGGGAGGGAGGGAGGAATTGAAGGTTAGTTACAACTGTGTTTAGGGGTGGGAGGAGAAGGAGGGTGTGTAGGAATTGAAGGTTAGTTACAACTGTGTTTAGGGAGGAGGAATGAATTGACAGGTTTAGGGAGTTGAAGGTTAGTTACAACTGGGGTCAAGGCATCAAAACTGGATGTGAACACTTCAATATGAGGGGTGGTGGGTAGCCATGTGGTACAAGTGTTCACTCATCACACAGAAGGCCAGGGTTCAATTCCCCACAAGGTAGAAGCCCATATCCACAGTGTCCCATGGCAGATGTTCCTGGAATGTAGCTGAAAGCAGCATAAAATCACATTCACACACTTGTTCAGTTGGCATGATATAAGGCACGTACAAGTCATGTGTGTCATGCTGTTTGTTGTAGAGAACCTTGCATGGTATTAACCCAGTTTCAGGGGTTCTAATAGCCAGGGAATTGATATAACAGAGGTACAGATAAGCTGCGTATCTGTGTAAATTATGCAAATATTATGTGAAAACTCAATTCCTATTAAGGCTATTGCATACAAGTACACTTGAAGTTTTGTTAATACTCAGTAAATGTGACCTTACATGCATGCACACAAAAATGTCTTAGCTTGCGTACCAGTGGGTAGATAAAATAACTGAGGTATATTGAGAGTTCTGTTTTACAGGACATGAACCTGACAGCTTGCAGTCTCTTATTGTTTCTCATATAACAGATCAAATATGAATAACAAACACTAACATTTAAACTTTATTATATTTTAAAAATTAATGGAAAATGGCAAAATACCCATTTGAGTTTGAGTGAGGTGGGTACAATTTATTTAGTTACTCAAAGGAAAATTAGGATACCCAATTGAGATGAACAGAAGCGAGTACACAACTCAATGACCCAACACGTTATCTGTAGCTCTGTTTATAAGGAACACCCTTGTAATGGTCTGACAGATATAACACACTGTTTTTTGTCCCAACCACTTGCTGTATATTTTAGTCAAAATATGTGTTCTCAACTACATCATCATGATATTTATAATACTTCAGCAAAAGATCAAAGGCGTGGACAGTACTTTCTCAGACGCTAATGCACATTTTTTGCATTACGTCACAATGTATTGACGCCACTGCGCCATTCTAGTCTACCACCTCATAATCGAACGTCCCCTTGGTAACCGACATCACGTTGCATGTCAGTTGTCATTGCCTTGTACAGCCTCCATCAGGATGAACTGATCTAAACTTACGTTGGTAGTAGAAATGAAATGTTCATATTTCCACATATGGTTTACGGTAATCACAGATGTAATTAAAATGATTTAGAGAAGATCTTTAAACCAAATGTAAACCATCATCAAACTGTTTATCATTTGTTTTCTGGTAACATGCGCCTTAATGTAGGGAGGCAGACCAGCGCAAGTGTCCTCATGCTTTAACTATAATAGTTCAGGCGAAAGTGTGCTTTATTACACTACACATGGTGGTAGAGCAAACTGTATTTCTTAAATAAGGTTAGAGGTCCCTTTAAGTTCATTATGATCATTGGTGCATTGTAACTTTGTATTCATTGCAGTAATGTAAAACTAGGCACTAAACGTTGTGTCCTCTTCATTGTTCCATGTGGTGGGGTAGCCTAGTGGTTCAAGCATTTACTTGTCACACTGAAGACATGGAATTGATTCCCCACATGGGTACAGTGTGTGAAACCCATTTCTGGTGTCCCCTGCCATGATATTGCAGGAATATTGCTAAAAGCATAATAGCAGTGAAATGGGCTCAAACTTGTGCTAAGATCCATGTTTAGGCTAGTAGACTCCAAGGTTTGTCTTATACTTTGTCATTTACTAGTTGATGGGTATTTGTGCTTCAGTCCCAACCCAAATGCCAATGGAGAAAAGCGTGCTGAGCGTGATCGCCTCAACTTGAAACGCAACAATGAGCTGAACGCCCTAGCCATGGAAGGGTTGTCCAAAACAAACTGAAGAAGATGTTGCGACATCCTAAGAAGAACTTTGATCCTTCCTCCAAGACGACGTACGATACATGTGCCATGTGTTGCAATCCCAAGGTACTTTCATCTCACCAGTGTTCATTTCTGGCTCTATCAGTTCGATCCCCGGTGGAGGCACCTAGGTTTGGGTCCCGAGGTGGACACATTTGCGTAGTATCCTTGGACAAGATACTTAGATCCACATTGTCTCAGTTCACCCAGCTGTAAAATGGGTACCTGTGAGGATGTGCTGGCAATGTGAGTGTTTAGTCCATTGCGCCTAACAGGCAGCATGGGTCTATGATCCCCAGGGAGTTAAAATCGGAAAGTATGATTGTGTCCTATGACCGGGGGATAGTAATGTACAGCAGGCAATGTGCCATGAGCAGTGGGCTATTACTATTATGTGTCCTGGATATGAATGCCACATACAGTGGGCTATTACTATTATTAATGCTGGTACACCATCAGTTACTCTGACATCACAATGCTGGTCATTCACAATGCTGGTCACACCATCAGTTACTCTGACATCACAATGCTGGTCACACCATTATCATCCCACAATGGTTACTCTGACATCACAGTGCTGGTCACAGGACATATCACTGCAATGACATTGCTGGTCACACCATCAGTTACTCTGCATCACAATGCTGGTCACACCATCAGTTACTCTGACATTACAGTGCCACCATCAGTTACTCAATGACATCACAATCAAATGACATCACTAATTTCTCTCTGCCACTGAATCACTAATTTCTCTGCCACTGCAGCAGATTATCTGTAATTTACACACAAGACACTGTTTATCACTCATTACAAGTTAAAAGAATTGAAAGATGCAGTTCGATGATTAATGAAACATCTTATTTCCAGGGACAGAAATGTGAATTCAGTTTATGCAAAGGCTGCTGCAAGAAGAAGTCAGTGAAAGAGACCTTGAACTGTGCTGGTGGGTATTAATATGTTCTGTGTAATGATTATCTGAACATATTTTATGACTGTAAAATCAATAAAAATGCAGATTATTCTTTTCTAATAAAACTGTCACACTCGATGACTTGGTCGATGCATGTCATTGTATCCATATTGTGTAGATCGATACTCATGATGTCAATCACTGGATTGTCTGGTCCAGACCTGATTATTTACAGACCCCCATCATAAAGCTGGAATACTGCTGAGTCAACAATCAAGAAACAAATGAACAAACTTTTCTGATAAAATGCAGTATGTGCCAGAACCATGTACCAATGGTCTCTGCCTAAAACTGTCACTTGACTTCATAATTAGTAGATCGTAGTGCATGGATGGACCTTTAGAAGCAAATTTTACAGGCTAAGGACAAGTTGCTATAGTCACATACTAAATATGCTACATCATATCAAAACGTCAAAGACCGCCACCGTGGTGTAGTGGTTAGAGCGTCCGCCCGGAGAGCTGAAGGTCGCAGGTTCGATCCCCGACTGCGTCATACCAAAAGACGTTAAAATATGGTACTTGTTGGTCCCTGCCTGGCGCTCGGCATTAATGGGTACAAGGACTGGTCGGTTCGGAGTCAGTATAATGTGTCTGAGTGGGGAATTCATGCTTCACTGCGGTATGGTATCTCAGTGGGCTAGCACTATAAAACCAGCTTAAGTCTGGACTAGTACAAGCAGCCGCACATACACACGCATGCACGTCGTCATATGAGCGAAATATTCTTAAGCACGACGTTAAACCCAATTTCACCTCACCTCACCTCAAAACATCAAAACCATGGGGCACACTAAAGAGACTACTCAAATTGTATTTCAGGCCATGGCCTCACCTTCAAGACCAAGGCCGAGAGGAAACGACTAGAGAGTGAACAACAATCTGACGCTTGTGTAGCATTGGCCCTGAACGGTGCCAGTAATGGCGCTGAGTGTCAGCGGTCATCAACTGTCAACACAGCTAGTGCTGATCAACCACCTGAAGACTTGTGCCACACAGACTCTTTACCAACTGATAAAAACTCAGCTGATGTAGTTTTGTAGCACATGGAAACTGAAAATGTACGCATCCCATTTCATTGATTGAGAGCTTATCTCTTGATATGTTGCACTGCCAGACTGGATACATCATAATATTTGTGTTGCCATGGAGATCATGTAGACAAGCATATACATCTTGTGATTTACACAAGGATAAAGAAATCGTTAAATACTCTGGCTTTTGAAGGTGGGTATTGCCTCAAACAGGTTGGAAGTCATTTTAATTGTCCTTGGGAAATTCTTTGACTGAATCTCTTAAAATCCTTCAAATGCTGCTGTAATAAAGTCAATTTTATTTTTTAAGTATATAATTTTGACCAAGTGATTTTGATCTATGCTGGTCATAACAGGCGACTAACGGGTGGTCAGACTTTCTGACTTGGTTGACGTCATGGTCGATACGTGAAGTCTCAGTCACTGGATTGTCTGGTCCAACTTTAATTCCTTAAGGTTTGCCAGGGGTGGTGGAATAGCCAGTGGTTAAAGCGTCCACTCGTCACGCCGAAGACCCGGGTTCGATTCACCACATGGGTACAATGTGTGAAGCCCATTTCTGGTGTCACGCGTGCTGTGATGCTGGAACATTGCTAAATGCAGCGTAACACCATACTCACTCACTCACTAAGGTTTGCCATCATGTAGAAGGAATATTGCTGAATGCAGTGTTAAACCACCATCAGACACACACCATTTAATGTGTGTTGGACACAGGGACACAGGGAGGTAATGGACAGTGGATGTTCAATGATGTCCCTTCAACTTGCTTACTGTGTACAGTGTTTCATATGTCCGGTACTGCACTGATGTTTATTTGAGACTGGGCTAACCATCATGTCTAAAGCTTTATGTGACCTTCTTGTGAATAAATATTTCCAATATATTCACAGTAGAATGTATTATTTAGCCAACAGGTTTGGCTGCAGAGACTTGGGATCCATTCCCCAAATGAATGATTGTGCTAAGGTAATCATACTCCCATACTTTAACATTGACTTACGAATTTTAGTGCTACAATTTCTTGCTGTATCATAATGCTTTGTCAAAAAAAGTGTAACATCTTGTAACCATGGTAACTGCAACATATCCCACATGGATAACCAAAGACGGAGACTCCCTTCCCTTTAATGAATTACCAATTCCTGATACATATCAAATTTATGGTAATTAATTGAAGAACAGAAGTATAATTTTGTCTTGGCCTTTTCACATCCCCAGTATGGATGTGATATACTTTTGAGAGGTCCCTCTTTTCAATGGTGTCACTTTGCAACAACTGCTTTAGGCCAGACCAATTTTATTTCTTGTTTTACAGATCCACCGGTCATATTTTTTCAAGAATAAGAAAAACAAAATTAATTAATTTTCCCGGCTCAAAAAATAAAATCCTCACGTTTTTATTGGCCAAAAAATGTAAGCTTACCCCAAAAAAAAAATTTTTGATTGTTTTTTGCCCCATATAAACTTTATAAATTGCCAAAAATAAAATACTTATAGTATTTAAAAGGAAAATTATTTTGACTAGTGATTTTTATTTTTTTCCCTCCTGCCTTCAGCTTTTCTGAGGGACAAAAATCTGTAAAACAAGAAATATAATTGGTCTGGCCTTACCTCCAAATATCAAATTTGTTAAATACATACAATGCACTTATTTCATTTATTCTCTTGGGTCTGGGAGACAGAATATTCCAGAGGCGGTTGGAAGCCTAGTGGTTAAAGCATTCAAAGACCCGGGTTTAATTCCCCACATGGGTATAATGTGTGAAACTTATTTCTGGGGTCCCCCGCCGTGATATTGCTGGAATATTGCTTAAATCTGCGTAAAACCAAACTCACTCACTCAGAATATTCCAACACATCAGTACTTTTAAAGAAATGGAATACACACATATACATCACGACTAGAAAGCAACATCCAATCAAAATCTTTGAACAAACACAGGAAGTGTGTTTCACTAGTATCTTTAATATCATGTCCAATATCTTCCAATGAGATCGACATATATAATGCTAAATGAAATATGTACACCCAGTTTTCTGCCAGACAAAATTAAATAAGAAAATGATTACTAACAAACAAGGCATAAATGCTGTATGGACCCTTTAACTTCCATAAATATGACTAAATAGTTGTTTCAGTCAAGTTAAACAGCAAAGCCTCAGAGCAACAGCCAAAGGAATCATTGTGCTAACGTAATCATACTCCCATACTTTAACACTAACTTACGAATGTTGTAGTGCTACAATTTCTTGCAGTATCATTCTGCTTTGTCGAAAAAAACCAAGTGTAACATCTTGTAACCATGGTAATTGCAACAGCATCAGATATACATATTTTCATGCAATGAAAATTTCATTGAAAGGGTCATTGCTTTCTTCCAGATCTGAATTGATCATCAAATTGAGTCCTTTGTCAAATAGGTTCACATAATTCTATACTACCATCAAAAATTTAGACTCACTTAAAGCACTCACTATGTGTTATGAATATATGGTTACATCGAAGATGAACTTCTCCACTAACTTGGGGGAACCAACTGCAAACCTTATGCAGATGAATTGCACAAGGATCATGCATCAAAATTCTGAAAAGCATGTGCAAATATCGTGCATGTGAACAGCTGCGTTTTGGTGTAAAGTTTTGTTAAGAATTCACCAATTTTCACAGTTTCATCATTTATTGAACTCACGATAATAATCTTTTCAACGTTACGAATTTGTTTTACAATGCATCAGTTCATGTATAAACAGAACCTATAAACAGTATGGAATATTTCGCAACATCTAGTTTAGAACAGTTGACTGAAGTAGGTGGCTACATTTACACTAGTGAGTCTAAACTTTTGATGGGTAGTATATGAAGGAATGAAAATTTGACTTGTTAGTAATAAATGAATAAAAACACATGAAACAAGAAAAGTATCTATGAAAAATCAGATAAAAACAAAATCAACTAAAAAAGCAGTCATTGGGTGCAATGAGTAGCAAATCTGGAAAGATGTGCTTGGGTGGTCACGTTCGATTTGTGTTGGTCTAACATGATAAATACAGTGTGGGTTATTCTGAGACAAAACAAAATTACACACCAGAAGATACAGACAGCATCATAATCATGAACATAACAAGCAAAACAAACATATGCTGAAGATTACATTCACAGAATTAGTTTTCCTGAAAGTACTACAGGGACTACTTCAGGTGAACAGAAATATACTACTCAAATCCGTTAAGGAACACCCAGTTTCATATAACTATCATACAGTGTCAGATTAACCATAGTAATATGACAAATTTGGTGATCCTTAACTTCTTTTGAGTTGTATACAAGCAGATAGATACTGTTATTCCAATCATTGGAAAATGGTTGGTTAGCATATCTTTTATCTCAGTCTTTCAAATGAATGCCTCACGTAGATCAATATTACTGTTCACTTAAAAATACTTTTTCATCTTAAGTGTTTTATCCAAGCATTTTATAAAAGTATACAACAAAAATAGCAGATTACTGTTCTCAAGAAACTCTTCAGTAATTACTGATACAGGCTTCATTAGAAAGATTAATGGTAGCTTTTTTATCTCAGGAAGACTATGTCTTTTATCTTTTTATTTATAACATGGATGCAACAAAATGACAAAAACATTACTTTACTTCTGAAACTGTAAGTAACATTATCGATATATGTTTGATTTCAACAACTTGCATCACTAGTACTATTGCAATGAAATAAGCAAATGGTAAACCCGAAGGTACACAAGTTCATGCCATGATATTGTTAAGATTTCTGATGTTGGAGAGGGTTGGGGTAGGGGTAGGGTTGATGTGGCTAGGGATAAGGCTGCTAGAGGCATACCAAAATATGTTAATGGCTGCGTTGTTTCATAGATGGATGCTGCCATCAGATTTCTCCACCATAAGGAGCACAATGCTACCTTCACATATTGGTGGGAGTGTAAACAAATGTGCCGTCTTGCTTCTCCCAGCTATTTGAAACATGACCACAAAAAGTTTAGACAGAACAAATGTTGCATACATAGTGAAGAATAATTGAGAGTTCAATGTCATCTGAAAAAATTACTACTCACATTTTGATAGGGATGCTCTAAGTGTCCGGGCAAGGACTGGTTGTCGGTCATTACTAGGACATTTTGTCATGTGAGTAATATTCAAAATTACAAGGGAACTAAGCTTATTAAATTTGATCTTAAGTTTAGTAGACAATTCAGTTAGTTATCATTAACATTAATAACAGCATGAAATAGCTTCCTATTCCTACCAAATGTTGATCAGTATAGAATACAGTGAGATGCATGAATGAAAGCTACCATGCAGCTGATGCTGGGCATGATACAGTGTGTAAATTGATGCAGCCTTATCGTGATGCATGGATCAGTGGATGTATGGATCAGTGGATTTACATGGTGCTCCAAAACGGATCATCAATCCTACATGGCAACGATTCATCAGGTCTACTTGTCATATGACCTATGTGAGTGACCAGGTGACTCACATGCATACATGGCAACGATTCAGAAGGATCTACTTGTGATTTGACCTATGTGAGTGACCAGGTGACTCACATGCATACATGGCAACGATTCATCAGGTCTACTTGTGATTTGACCTATGTGAGTGACCAGGTGACTCACATACATACATGGCAACGATTCAGAAGGATCTACTTGTGATTTGACCTATGTGAGTGACCAGGTGACTCACATGCAAACATGGCAACGATTCATCAGGTCTACTTGTGATTTGACCTATGTGAGTGACCAGGTGATTCACATGCATACATGGCATAAGTGGACACACAGATGAAGTTATGTATTTACAGTGTACACTAGTGAGTTTCCACAGCACTAGTCTATGTAAAAGCTTTCTTTTGGCAGAATTTCCCAAAATTGTCATTCTTTATTCCCCTTTGAATATTGGTCATATCATCAAAATCAAAAGATGTGACATGGTAATATATTAAAAGATTTTAGAGATGCATAGCCATTTTCAAACAAAACATTATCTGTAATATAACAGAACCTAGATTTTCTTTATTTAAACATTCTGTTACATCTACTTTTTGACCATGTTTGCTTGCTCTAAATGACCCGGGGTAGTGGGGTAGCCTAGCGGTTAAAGCATTCGCTTGTCATACCGAAGACCAAGGTTCGATTCCCCACAAGGGTACAATGTGTGAAGCCCATATCTGGCATTCCCTGCCGTGATATTACTGCATAATTGCTAAAAGCAGCGTAAACCTAAACTCACTCAGTCACTCTAAATGAGCCTTCTTTGAACAAAAGGAAAACATTAAACCATAAAATGAACCACAAAAATGTTAGTGTGAATTATATGCAAAAAATATGGCATGACGGACAGTGCAGATATATATTTGTTTAATGATATGAAATTATCATTATATTATGGCTAGGTTTAATGTGAACAAATAAATCAATGCCTCAAAAACATTTATAAAAAAGTTGAAATTATTGAAATTAAAATCTGTAAACCTGTACACAGCCAGACAAATGTGGAAACTCACTTGCAGCAAATTACAAAACAGGAACAATGAACCAGAATACCGGTACACAATCTACATCTTTGCATTCACCATGTGTAGAAGGCGACTACGTGAGCACACAAAACAGGTGTCATATCAACATATATACCACCGTATCACAGACCTCGTCCAAGATATTTCTGCTCATAAAATATAGGCCATATATATATATTGCAATAAAAACATGTTCGATGTCTTTACGCTTCCCACATTTGAGCTAGAATTTCTCTGTGAAGAATCTCTCATTGTTGGCAAATATATGTCTATGTAAATAGATCGATGATAGTGGGAACTATGTTCACTAGACGAGATTATTGCAACACTGAAATGAACTCACATGAACGATTGTAGTGTAAGGTGCGATGGTTATTACATTCTATTTAATAACCAAACAAAGAAGGGACAATATATTTATCTAAATACTTACAGCACATATTTATAATCGCCAGTAATAATTTAGTCAATGCCATGCTGAGGTTCCCCTATGATCTCTGAAACATGCACATACCATCGGAACTATACTACTCAACATTTGCTAAGGAGCACACCTTAAAGACAACTGTTTGGATTCTAAGCAAATGTTGACTAGTATAGGTCTACCAATTGAAAGTCTTTTGGAACAGAAACATTGATCTAAAGAACTTTGTCACCTGGAAATTTTTGATTACGTTAATAGCATAAAAAAGCCATATGTTTAGGTAAAAATGAAAGTTATTTTTTGTCTCAGAAAACTTGCCTGTAACAGACCTGTGAATTATACCACTCAATAGAGGTTAAAGAAGACGTGACTTTTTATGTACAGTCAAATCCCGATGAGTCGAATGCCGGTGTCTCGAATATTATGCATAACTCGAAGTACCTGTCGGTCCCGACCATTCCCTGTTATAGTTGTCATCATTTGATTTCCGGTTACACAAATTCGTCTCATAAATACACACGATGACTCGAGAAGGAAATTTGGTCCCATGAGATTCAAACAACAGCAATATTGTATACATAAGCCGAAGTCAGTCAATGAGAAGTTGATTGGTGTAGCAAACTGATCCAATTAACAAACCAGCGCGGCTCACACCTTTCCGCCATTGACAGGTGAGTTCAAAAGGCAGATTAGTGATTTTACGGAAATCACTGTCTGTGCTAATCAGACTGGAACTGATAAGGTGCCCCTATTAGTGATAGGGAAATCATTAGGTAAACAAATGCTTAGGTGGAGGAATTAGGACTGGATCATCTTTGTTTCTACCCTCATAGACATACCTATGTCTCGAATACATCGATAAGTCGAATTGATTACTTGGTCCCCAGCGATTCGACTCATCGGGATTTGACTGTATTTCATTTATATTTTTATCTATCTGTCATGGCTGGCGGATCTTGTGAAACAGATCCTTCCAATTAAGGGGGTGTTGTTTAAGTTCTTTTGAGCGGTATAATTCCTTGTTTACAACATACAGTTGTGACAATGCCACACAATTTTTTGGCTTCATTTCTCAACAGTAAAAACATGTCAACAAGAACAACACACTGCATGAGATCGTATTCTCATGGGTATCTACACAAGATAATGGCTGAACCACTGCAGCTTGAGAGAAACATGAAAGTGGGAAAGGAACATTTTTACATGTGTCATAAATTATGTCAATGAACTCTGCTGTCATACATTTCTGTCATTCTTTAGTGATGTTCAACGCAAATATGTCAATAGCGTTGTTTGGGTAGAAATTGTTGTTCGTCCTGGACTCGTTTTTACAAATGCTGTTCAATCGATGTTTGTAACACAGATACGTCAATAGACAGTGTTGTTTGGATAGAAATTGTTGTTCATCATGCACGTTTATACATGTGCTGTTCATCGATGTTCGTAACACAGATGTGTTAACATACAAGGTTGTTTGGATAGGAAGTGTTGTTCATCCTGCACACATTTTTACATGTGCTGTTCATCGATATTCGTAACACAAGTACGTCAACCGTCAGTACTATTCGGATAGGAAGTGTTGTTCGTCCTGCATGCATATTCAGATAGAACTGTGCATGTGCAGTTAGACAGCGTGTTTGAAAACATGAATGTAATTAAACAGCATGATCGGTCATACACAGCTAAAATGGCCTGTATTGTTTGCAATCGATTTGACTGATCACCATGGTTTGATATACTTTTGACTCAACAGTGTCATTACTCAGAGATTCTACTCCAAACTGTTGTTGGTCAAACATGTTTGACCTGACAGTGTTGAGCCCTTTAATTGCGATGCTACCCAAGTGTCACCTACAATGTTTTTGGATCACAGTGACTGCAGAATGAACACAAGACACATGTTCCTTTTCACAGTGTTTGACACTGACCAAGGTCGTCCTTGGTTCAAGCCTACTGGATCACTGCTAGACACAATGGTCCCGTCCAAAAATGGTTTTAACAGGTATTTAATTCATTGCATAATCAGTATGAGAAACCAGCCAAGAAGGAAGCCACTCTGAGAACTGCAGTCCACATCATCATTTTCCTTCGAGTTTAGATTTGACTTATATCACTGATATTAAAAGACATACCAATGTGAATTACTTTGTTCACCCCAAAAGAAACACTAGACCACTGGACCAATACTTATTAAATTACCAGGGCCCGTTCCACAAAACGATCGTAGCGCTAAGATGATCGTAACTCCCATACTTTAACATTGACTTACGACTATCGTAGCGCTGTGATCGCTTTGAGAAACGGGGTCCTGGTCCTCAATAAAATATGCTAGACACAGACCAGCAGACAAGTGTTGACATGTGTCGAACACTGTTTGACAAAATGTCTGACACCTCTCAATAGTATTTCAGCTAAATGTGTCATTGGTCACAGGCATTTAGCAATGACACAGAACCTATGAGCACAGGTGTTGTGTAGACCGACCAAGGATCTGGGATTCAAACCCGGACCTGTGACCAGCTCACTAAGGTGCTAGCTATATCCAACATATTGGAGGGGGAGGCTCTGGTTTAGAATGGTTGTGTATTACTGGAGGGAGAAGTCATGGTAAAGCAGAGTCCCTACGTCAGAATGGACTAATCACACAATGTCAACCATTTATCTTCAACAAGTACAATGTGTAGCTGAGGCAACTCTAACTGCTCCAACGCTAAACTCAAACCTCACATTGTCATACATGTAAACATATGTTTGTAGATTATGGAGAGAGGGCTGAAGAGGAATCAACAGGTCATGCAACTGTCTTCAAGTAAACTAAATCTGTGAAGTGCTCCATGCTGGTACAAGGGGAGACTACTCTTCAGCCCTCGTCTGTTCACTGGTGACTAACGTCCACTGGTTTCATGAGATGGCCTTTTTGATCTTGTCACACAGCTGTTTGGCTCTTTCGGACAGCTTGGACAATGCTGACCAGTCTGGACTCATTACGACGACAAGATCCTTTACCTGGAAACAACATCAACAAAATAATGATAACACTAGTGAGTGAGTTTGGTTTACTGCTACCCTGATCTATACTTCAGTTTGATCAGTGGGTCAGCTTAATGTGGGTAGAAACCCTGAGTTACAAGTAAATTCTGAAAACCCTCAAACTTTGCTGTGATGCTGACAACCCAAGAAAGTGTTAATCAGGACAAATCTTGGATTCAAATCCATGATCATTTGCTCTGGCAAATCTAGGTGATTCAAGTCTTATGATAAGAGAATGCTGATGATGAATCTGTTAGTGTCCTTAGACAAATAATATACAGATAACTAGCCAATAACATTACTGATAGATGTTAGTCTTAATATTGTGTATACAAGAATTTGTGTGAAAAAAAATCAAATCAAAACAATCTTGCCTCAAATTAAACTGAAACTCACCTCTGGATTAATTTGCATAAATCTCACAAGGCTTGACAGGGCATAGAGAGCTGGAAATGAAAGGCAACTACTATGACTAAAATACATATAGAGCAGTAACAGACATTCTTCGATAACATGTGATACCCTGGAGGCTTATTCCCAATCCTGTCTTAGATAAGACAATTGTTAGTGATGTAAAACCTAAATTACAACATCTGGTCTTCAATATCCTATTGTAACAGTATCTAACTTGAGACAAAACTCTTTGTGGAGAAAGTCAACTCTTTATGTGATGGAGATGAAACAGGCTGGGACTTTCCTACTGACGTAATCGATATTGGAGGGAAATCATTTGACTGAAATTTGTGTATACATTTTAATATTTAAATATTTAACTACAATTACCATTGCCATTCTTGAAACTTTCTTCAATGGTATCGTACTGAGACCCAAAACATATTTTAGCTAACATGGTGAGCTCTATTTTTACAGAGCTTAAATGAGCAAAGGGTTTGTAATTTGTAAACAAAGCTAGGACAATAGGCATGCACTTCTTAAGTGAAAATAGTCGTAATGTTGTACATGTAATCATTCCACATATACTATCTATCTATCTTCATTGATCCATCCATCCACCCACCCACCCATCATCCATCCATCCATCCATCCAACCATCCATCCACCCATCCATCCATCCATCCATCCATCCATCCATCCATCCAACCATCCATCCATCCATCCCTATAATGCTACCAGCTGATGGTACCTCCATTCTCTGACATGTCCTGATTCAGACACTGTAGTACTGCACTGGCAACTTCCACTGTGACCTCCGTATCATCCTCAACCTGCAACACCAGCAGATAAAGTGTAGTGGCACTACAATACACTGCAGTCTGGGTTCGGGAACAGGGCACCTGTATGGTAACTTTACACTAATACACTACAGTCTGGGTTCAGGAACAGGGCACCTGTATGGTAACTTTACACTAATACACTACAGTCTGGGTTCAGGAACAGGGCACCTGTATGGTAACTTTACACTAATACACTACTGTCTGGGTTCAGGAACAGGGCACCTGTATGGTAACTTTACAACAATACACTACAGTCTGGCTTCAGGAACAGGGCTCCTGTATGGTAACTTTACACTAATACACTACTGTCTGGGTTCAGGAACAGGGCACCTGTATGGTAACTTTACAACAATACACTACAGTCTGGGTTCAGGAACAGGGCACCTGTATGGTAACTTTACAACAATACACTACAGTCTGGGTTCAGGAACAGGGCACCTGTATGGTAACTTTACACTAATACACTACTGTCTGGGTTCAGGAACAGGGCACCTGTATGGTAACTTTACACTAATACACTACAGTCTGGGTTCAGGAACAGGGCACCTGTATGGTAACTTTACAACAATACACTACAGTCTGGGTTCAGGAACAGGGCTCCTGTATGGTAACTTTACACTAATACACTACAGTCTGGCTTCAGGAACAGGGCTCCTGTATGGTAACTTTACACTAATACACTACAGTCTGGGTTCAGGAACAGGGCACCTGTATGGTAACTTTACACTAATACACTACTGTCTGGGTTCAGGAACAGGGCACCTGTATGGTAACTTTACAACAATACACTACAGTCTGGGTTCAGGAACAGGGCTCCTGTATGGTAAATTTACACTAATACACTCAGGGATGCAACAGTCTACAGACAGTTGTACTGTAATGTTACACCAAGCGCAATCATCAAAGTCAAATCAGACTGACTTGTCATCTTCAAATCAGATGCGCAAAGGTCATGGCAAAGTTGTGTCACCATGTTACGGCACAATGAGAAGCTTAGAGGCTTGGATGAATGCACGTCAGCTTTGTTTGTTTGTGTGTCTGCAATAGTTCTGGCAGTCGACAAATATTCGATGTCAGGACCAGACAATCCAGTGATTGACATCATGCACCTCGATTTCCACAACTGGAATACCATGACATGGGTATCGAGCCTGACCACTCGATCCTGTAAGTCTTCTCTTACAACAACATGGGCTGCTGATGACTCATTCTACGAGCATCTTCATGTCATGATATCTTGACAGTATAGGTAGTTGATCATAGTGTCAATCGCTAGACTTGTCCACATTCAAATACTGGCAGACTTCCGCCATGTAACTGGAATATTGCTGAGCAGGGCATTAAACAACAAACAAGCAGAAATCCATGTAGGACGGTCAACTCACCTCGTTGAGACTGATGTTGAGAGCCAGGGCAGAGGCTGCCTCTAGAAGGTCCTTGTCGTGGTGGTCGGTGAGGCAGGAGATGCTGATCTGCTGGGACTTCTTGTGAACACTAAGACCATCAGTGTTGGGGACTCGTACCTTCTCCATCGTGGCAATGCCATTCTCCACCGCCTGCATGTTGGCCAGCTGACAAGAGACAATGTGGAATCACTTAACACATTTCCGTACTAATGCAGATGTTGAATCAGCTGAATCATCAGTTAATCTTTCAATGGAGAAGTTTGGTTCAGATATACTGTGAAGAGTTTATTCAATGAATCTGATTTTTTGCATGTTGATGACTCTTTCAACATTTGTTGCACTTATTCATGTCACTAACAAAAACAGTACTGCTCTCTTCCAAAGGTCTGCCCACTTACCATGTGTACAATGTGTGTCTGCACCTGTATAGTCTGGTCGTTGAACTGACTGAGGATGTAGCCCATCATATGAGCGGAGTCATGGCTAATCACTTGCAGAAAGTCTGGCTGCACCACCAGAAGCTGTAGCATCTCACAAATCTTTACTCTCAGGGTCTCCGATACTTCTCTGTTGCATAAAACTTTGGCTGGAATTAGACGAAAAGATGATTGTTCTGTAATATTTCATGCTTTACCATGTTTTACACTGAGCAGGGTGAAAACACCACATAAATGGCATAACACTAATTACAAAGTGGAACACAGTCTAAGAAAAATAGGTGAGTTTATGTAATGCTGCTTTGAACTGAACTGGAAAAAAACATCTGAACTAATGCAGTATTTCCCGCTCCACTGAAAGCCATATTATGACAGATACTTGAACAGTACCTGCAAACATTTAAAGAATTGTCAAACTCATCTACCTGCACCTGGTCACATGAATGTTAAAGTACTGTCCAGCCTTGCTACCTACCAAGCACCTGCAGTGGTCACATGAATGTTAAAGTATTGTCCAGCCTTGCTACCTACCAAGCACCTGAAGGTGGTCACATGAATGTTAAAGCATTGTCCAGCCTTGCTACCTACCAAGCACCTGCAGTGGTCACATGAATGTTAAAGCACTGTCCAGCCTTGCTACCTACCAAGCACCTGAAGGTGGTCACATGAATGTTAAAGCACTGTCCAGCCTTGCTACCTACCAAGCACCTGAAGGTGGTCACATGAATGTTAAAGCATTGTCCAGCCTTGCTACCTACCAAGCACCTGCAGGTGGTCACATGAATGTTAAAGTAATTGTCCAGCCTTGCTACCTACCAAGCACCTGAAGGTGGTCACATGAATGTTAAAGCATTGTCCAGCCTTGCTACCTACCAAGCACCTGAAGGTGGTCACATGAATGTTAAAGCATTGTCCAGCCTTGCTACCTACCAAGCACCTGAAGGTGGTCACATGAATGTTAAAGCATTGTCCAGCCTTGCTACCTACCAAGCACCTGAAGGTGGTCACATGAATGTTAAAGTATTGTCCAGCCTTGCTACCTACCAAGCACCTGAAGGTGGTCACATGAATGTTAGCATTGACCAGCCTTGCTACCTACCAAGCACCTGAAGGTGGTCACATGAATGTTAAAGCATTGACCAGCCTTGCTACCTACCAAGCACCTGCAGGTGGTCACATGAATGTTAAAGCATTGTCCAGCCTTGCTACCTACCAAGCACCTGCAGGTGGTCACATGAATGTTAAAGTATCGTCCAGCCTTGCTACCTACCAAGCACCTGAAGGTGGTCACATGAATGTTAGCATTGACCAGCCTTGCTACCTACCAAGCACCTGAAGGTGGTCACATGAATGTTAGCATTGACCAGCCTTGCTACCTACCAAGCACCTGAAGGTGGTCACATGAATGTTAAAGCATTGTCCAGCCTTGCTACCTACCAAGCACCTGAAGGTGGTCACATGAATGTTAAAGCATTGTCCAGCCTTGCTACCTACCAAGCACCTGCAGGTGGTCAAATGAATGTTAAAGTATTGTCCAGCCTTGCTACCTACCAAGCACCTGCAGGTGGTCACATGAATGTTAAAGTATCGTCCAGCCTTGCTACCTACCAAGCACCTGAAGGTGGTCACATGAATGTTAGCATTGACCAGCCTTGCTACCTACCAAGCACCTGAAGGTGGTCACATGAATGTTAGCATTGACCAGCCTTGCTACCTACCAAGCACCTGAAGGTGGTCACATGAATGTTAAAGCATTGTCCAGCCTTGCTACCTACCAAGCACCTGCAGGTGGTCACATGAATGTTAAAGTATTGTCCAGCCTTGCTACCTACCAAGCACCTGAAGGTGGTCACATGAATGTTAGCATTGACCAGCCTTGCTACCTACCAAGCACCTGAAGGTGGTCACATGAATGTTAGCACCACTCCAGCCTTTAATACCTACCAAGCACCTGAAGGTGGTCACATGAATGTTAAAGCATTGTCCAGCCTTGCTACCTACCAAGCACCTGAAGGTGGTCACATGAATGTTAAAGTATTGTCCAGCCTTGCTACCTACCAAGCACCTGCAGGTGGTCACATGAATGTTAAAGCAAGCCTTATTACCTACCAAGCACCTGCAGGTGGTCACATGAATGTTAAAGCATTGTCCAGCCTTGCTACCTACCGAGCACCTGCAGGTGATCAAATGAATGTTAAAGTATTGTCCAGCCTTGCTACCTACCAAGCACCTGAAGGTGGTCACATGAATGTTAAAGTATTGTCCAGCCTTGCTACCTACCAAGCACCTGAAGGTGGTCACATGAATGTTAAAGTATTGTCCAGCCTTGCTACCTACCAAGCACCTGCAGGTGGTCACATGAATGTTAAAGTATTGTCCAGCCTTGCTACCTACCAAGCACCTGCAGGTGGTCACATGAATGTTAAAGTATTGTCCAGCCTTGCTACCTACCAAGCACCTGAAGGTGGTCACATGAATGTTAAAGCACTGTCCAGCCTTTCTACCTACCAAGCACCTGCAGGTGGTCACATGAATGTTAAAGTATTGTCCAGCCTTGCTACCTACCAAGCACCTGAAGGTGGTCACATGAATGTTAAAGTATTGTCCAGCCTTGCTACCTACCAAGCACCTGCAGGTGGTTACATGAATGTTAAAGTATTGTCCAGCCTTGCTACCTACCAAGCACCTGCAGGTGGTCACATGAATGTTAAAGTATTGTCCAGCCTTGCTACCTACCAAGCACCTGCAGGTGGTCACATGAATGTTAAAGTATTGTCCAGCCTTGCTACCTACCAAGCACCTGCAGGTGGTCACATGAATGTTAAAGTATTGTCCAGCCTTGCTACCTACCAAGCACCTGCAGGTGGTTCCTGCCGAGGGACCAGGAGCACTGACTCTGTTTGACAGCCAGGTACTCCAACATCTCTTCCCACACCTGGAACTCCTGTTCCGACAGCCGGGACTGCAGCAGCCTCCGAATCTCCTCGCCACGACACCTCTCCACCACATTCTGGAACAAACATGCAATGAGGTATAAAAGCTTTCGACTTATATGATTTTAGTACACGTTTTGTTCAGTTGTCGTTTTGTTTTATACTATAGTCAGGATTATTTCAGCCATATTATGGCTGTCTGTAAATAGTTGTGCCTGTGCTAGAAAATTGTTTGATTCTAGTCATGTACTACAGGTATGATAATCATGTTGGTATGGACACAGACATGAAGATCCAGGTTAGAATTGGTCTTCAGCTACCCATGCTTATTGTATGAGGGTGACCAAAGGAACTGGGTGGTTAAATCTGGTTGATGCATGTCATAACATCCAGGGATAGAAATACTCTTTTTTCTAAGTGTGCCTTAGGGCACCAGGCAAATATTTTAGGTGTGCTTTTCAGAAATCAAGTGTGCCCAGATAGAATAAATGACTGTAGCAAGGATGATGATCTTTTGAAATCTATTGTCAGAAAACAACAAATATAACCAGTTTTCTGTTATCACTTATATGTCTTCTGTTTAAGATGGCTTTCTTATCTGTCATTTGTTCTGCTTTCCCAACACCTTTAATAGCTAAGAATTGTGTGAGAGGTTATCTTGTTCAACATATCTTACATACACAATTTCCAACTGAACTATTAGTACCCCCAACACTCTAAATGAGAAAAACAACAACCAGATTTCTCTATATCATCCATCATAATTCCAGTGATTTCCTGGGCGTAAAAGTCAATAAATGTTTTTGCATGTTTGTTATTTGCTTAGTGTTTTGTTTGGGGATTAAATGACTAAAGGTGAGTTATGTCTCAAAAATAATTAGGCGTGCCATAAGGGCACCGAGAACATTTTTATCCGTGCCATTTCAATATTTACCCTGCCATGGCACCCTAATATATGGGGTATTTCAAACCCTGACATCACACTTGAGAAGATCACTGCTCATAATGTCCACCACGGGATTGTCTGGTCCAGACTTGAATAGTTACATATTTACAGATATCATATGTATCGTATGTGAAGAATATTTAGGAGATAAACCTACTGTGTAGGAAAATCAGAGGTATATAACGAAATTATAATAGCTCTAAATTTCATTTAAAACCGAGCAGCGTGGCGTGAGGGTTTTAAATGAACAATTAGAGCTATTATAATTCGTTATATACCTCTGATTTTCTAACACAATAGGTTTATCTCCATTCTACCATGACAATGCTCTTTCTTTGGTTACGAGTCAATACGTGAAGCGGCCTCGCATTCCAATCTCAAGTGGCATCGCCCGAAACGGGGTGATTGGTGGCAAACCGTCAATGACTAACAAACTCCAGATTCAGTATTAACAAATCACGTTGTTTTTTTTCAATGCATCAATCACCAATCATTAACTGATAAGTTGGAAAACATATATCAAATAAGTTTAAAAAGCTTGGTTCACATTTGAAAATTCCACCGTTGACCCTTTCCCCACCAGCAGCAACCTCATGGCTTTGACCTTTTCTCGGAAGTCATTGTTTACATTTACGTGCAAATTTGGAAAGATGCGACAGGAGAGCCTCTGACAGTTTGCGCGAGGTTAACCTGATTGTATGACTGAGATAATCTTTGGTATCTAATTACTGGTACTGGTTCAAAAGTTAAGAGTAGAGGCTTTTGCTGTAGCGAGAAGTCCGTGTTGTACTGAATTTAGATACTGTTGAATTTTTGCGCCCTGTCAACTTGGCGATTTCCGCACCTCGTCTGCGTCGACAGCTGTGTGGTGACTCTTATACACTCATGTGTGTACTTTGTGCTCAAATTCGATTCTCACGGATATTATTTTCTACATTTTGGAAAGTGTTTTGTGACCAAGTGGCTTCAAAGTTTAGTGAATTCAAACTGAATCGGATTCGCTGGCATGTTTGCGAGTCTGTTGACAAAGAGCCAGATTTGTGGTGATATTTCCGAAAGGATGGATCAGGACATGAGGGTGTACCTCTGGCATAAACACGGTAAGGTAATTAATTATACTTCAATAGACTACTTTAGATCAAGCAGTGCAATTGATAAGAGGGAACATGACTAAGCTAAATAACTTTTTCAACGATGTTATACTTTTAGAAAAAATATATGTTGGGCTAAACAGAACGGTTTGTAGATTCTGTAATAGTGTTTTACTACCGCTAAATTTGAAACAGTACAAATTTCAAAATATCATTTGTTTGAATTGATAACCCAACTGTTTATTTATGTGGACGGATTTTTTTCTTCGGCGTTTGATGTTAATGCATCCTCCGTTCCCGGATCAAGATCAGTGGCGATATCGTTTACGAAAGCTGATAATAAATTTAACACCGAAATTATGTAGCCGTCTATTGCTGGATCTATTCTGACATACCATAGAATCAACATAAACATATTTGTTTTTGCTGAATTTTTATTCGGAAAGCAGACGATGTTTGATCTTGTTCGACTGAATATTTGTTTCCATGCTTTAGAAGTACTTTTGTATGTATAAACACCTATTGCTGTGATTTACGCAAGTAGTGAGTCGAGCCCGTCATCGCTAAATCCATCTTTAAAGACATATGTGTAATTTCCGACAGCAAAATCACCGTAATTTATCGATGCATCGGTAGGGTGTTTGTTGTCCGCCATGTTGGTGGGCAGACAAAAAAAGTGCATTACCGTAAATCATGTATGATTGCGCACGGAAAATCAGAGACCTGTATAACATGATTATATACCTCTGAATGACTTTAATTAACCAATCACAATCCAGTGTTTACTGAAGTCATGGTAGAATCTGTTATATGTTGTATGGGTGCTGTGTTAAACAAAATTGGTATGTAAACGAAATGGCTTGAACCAAAGTATACCATCAGAATAGTATAATAGAAAAATGAAAACATGAACAGCAGAAGATACAACAATGTAAATAATTATAAAGACTGAGATTAAATTATTCATTGACCATCAATTAACCAATTAGTTTCAACCGTTCCTATATATACCCCCTCCTGAAACTAACTGTACAAACAGTACAGAGCTCTATGTACTCACAGTGGGTTTGTACATGACAGGATCTGTCATTTCCAGCTTGTCGGATTTTGAAGCAGAGGGTGAGTCTTTGTTGCCACTTCTCTGTCGTGTTCTGGTGGATGTTCCTGTTCCAAGCGTGTTCATGGCTCCGGAGGCAGTGTTCTGGGTCGTCGGCTCTGTGGGGAAGAGGGGGTGACCTCCGTCTGGCTGGACACTCATGGAATCTATCAAGGGTTTGATCATAGCACCAAATGGTCTGCAAATAATAGAACAATTCTCAGACTATTAGGCAATGAAAAGTGTGACCTATTGTTTATGAAGCTTTTCAAGTTTTTTAATTCAGTTAGAGCATTTCCGATCTGTTTTTGAACATTTTATGCCTATTTTACATCAAAGAGGTGCAAATTCACCATAAGAAATGACATACATCGTTATGCAATTTCACATCTATTGTAACTGTGTCTATTTCTTATTGAAAAATACAAAACAATTGGTAGTAATCAGTAAAATGCTTATGGTCCATTGACACCATTGCATAAAACAGGTTTTGAAGGTGGAACTAAACAATCTGCATTTTCATGGTCACCCTGACTGAGTTAGACCCATATAGTCTTTCTACTTCAGGGGGCACAGCTGGTTTAGCCATGCCAGCATCTGCTTGTATTAGGTTTGAATCCAAGATAGGTCCTGATTATGACATTTGGATTATCAGCACTATACCTCTTAATGTGGGTTCATCATGTTCTTGACCCGTGAAGGTCTGGGTTAGAATGAACCTTCAGTAACCCATGCTTGTCTTAAGAAGTGACTAACGGGATCGGGTGGTCAGGCTCGCTGGCTTGGTTGACACATGTCATCGGTTCCCAATTGTGCAGATTGATGTTCAGGCTGTTCATCACTGGACTGTCTGGTCCAGACTTGATTATTTACAGACCGCCGCCATATAGCTGGAATATTGCTAAGTGAGGTGTAAAACTAAAGTCACTCACTCACTCACTCATCATGTTCTTATATGTCTAAAACGTGTAGCATTTGATTTAGCTAGCAGTGACTTAACCAAGATACTGTTTTGTTCATACACCATCACATTCTGATGCTTTTACTTTCAAAACATTCAGTGTGACATTGGACTTTTCCAGGTTTTATTCATCAACTGCTATTTAGACTAGAACAATAACATCTCATGTACTGCTACTGTTTACAGTTACTTGTCCTCAGAGGTTACTTTTCTTTACTTTAATTATGGCTAACATGGAGGCCATGTTAAAACTGCTTGTACAAATGAAGGTGTAATTATTAGAAGGAATATGCATGTGAATTTGTGGCTTATTGGTCCTGTGATCGTTGCTCATGCTGTTGATCACTGGATTGTCTAGTCCAGACTCGATTATTTCCAGACCGCCGCCATAAACAGTAAAATACCTTTATAACGAACTCTAAGGGACCACTGAAATTAGTCGTTATATCCGCAGTTTGCTATTCACTTTTTTATATGATAATATAAGGTTTATTCGGGACTTTTAAAACAGTTTGCTATAGCCGTCAGTTCGTTATATCCGTGTTCATTATAAAAGTATTCTACTGTAGGTGGAATATTGATGAGTACGGCATAAAACTAAACTCACACCCTCACTCACTCCTGTCATTACCGAGATTTTCTGTTGCTGAAAGTCTATGCTGTACAAGAATACGATTTTCAAAGCTGTTTTTTTTTCACATAAATGATAAATATTCATATTTTGTATAATACAGAGGATATATATTGATATTTCCAAGTATACATTGAAGTAAAACTTATTACACACATGAATTTCAGTTACATCTAAGTGATATCAATAATGCTGAAGACAGAAAGTACTGACGTGCTGAGCACCTCAGCAGGGAGGTTGGTGATATAGGCGGGGACATTCCTCCCTGTCAGGAACTGGGCCACTTCAGCACTGAAGTTGTTGCAGTTGTGTTCCAACAGGTGATACTTGGTGGGACTGAAACAATGGACAAGGGAGATAACTCTAACAAGGGAGATAACTGTATGCATACACAACTCTATTACAATGAGTGTAGCTATTTGGTGTATGTACTAACACTGTTATCAAACAAGTGATATATCATCAAAAATGGCACTTTGATCTAGTGAGTGGGTAGATAAGGTTATTGCCAGTTTGATGGGTATTTTAGCTTGCTCGCAGAGTGACGGACAGACTGAGGTGGTTCGGGACAACAATCTTCCACCATAATGAAATACATGAGCATGAAGGAAATGGTGCCAACAAACCAAGATGCATATCTGTAATCATTGGATCCTGGCACACTAAACGCTAAAGGAATACAAATCCAAAAACAACTGCAGGGCTTGTCGGAATCACACACACTCCCCATAATACTCAATTCTTTGATTGACCTTAAACGTATTCACCTGAATTAGCTTTTTGCCAGTTCACTAAGGCAGACCCACCTGACTTAGCTTTTTGCTAGTTCACTAAGACAGAATCACCTGTATGAGCTTGTTGCCAGGATGCTAAGACAGACTCACCTGTATGAGCTCACTGACGTTCACTACAGACTCACCTGTATGAGCATGTTGCCAGGACACTAAGACAGACTCACCTGTATGAGCTTGTTGCCAGGACACTAAGACAGACTCACCTGTATGAGCTTGTTGCCAGGACACTAAGACAGACTCACCTGAATGAGCTTGTAGCCAGTTCACTGAGGTAGTCCATGAACATTTCTCGAGGTATCTGAGTCATTCCTAAGTCAACAATGGAATCTGGACGTCCAAGTATAGTCCCTCCCTAAAAGAAACTCAAAAACATCATAAAAGAGTTAAAGTGTTCTACACCACAACCAGCAACAGCCCAACTGTATCACAGTTGCCTGTACAGTACAGCATGTCAGTGGTCAATGATGACCAGAATGATGACACACTATCAGGCAAGTCATACAGAACCCAGTCCAAATTTAACTGATGCTTGTGAATATACTGGGGATCTGACATGGAGTCCCAGTCTGCAAGCCTGACAGGTATTCATAGCAACATCAGCTGACTTCCAATGTTTGAAATAACAACTCTGGATATAGACAGGTTTTACTTGTAATGGGAAAAACTAGCGTCAAGATAAATTGTCACGGTCAGGGTCTTGGCACTATATATATTATATATACACTCGAACCCCGTTTATCCGGGCATATTAGTTACACTCGGAAATCGTCCAGATAGTGAGGCATCCGGTTAACTGGATCAAACAAACATAACTTATTGACGATGTTTATTGAAAATGTATTTATGTATTTATGCATTTATTCGTCATCTTAGTCCTCGGACTCAGCTGGGATCGGAATTATGTCAACGTGTTTATAGCAGTTGGTGATACACTTCACACTCACTTCACGTTTTTATAAAATACAATTACAATGTGGTTAATGCTAATCCTAATTAACATGTGTTTTCGTTACTGATGAGATGTTCTCACACCTGCCAAATCCTAATTAACAACTGAAGTGGCATGCATCCCTTAGGGTTTTGATAGGTACTCGATCAATTCATATCAAACGCCTGCAGAGAGATTAACAATGAATACACTTAGTCGTGTGGTAAACGGTACTGACATATGAACATGCACACAGATCTTTCCATCCGGATAACAGGATCATTTTTCAATGGAAATCTATGGGAATGGTTTGAAAATTCTCCATCCGTGTCCGGAAGCATAGGCTCATGGCTAAGCGAGTACAATTACTGAAGGTAAGTTTCATTTCACCTACAAATCATCCGGCCGGCAGGGTTTCCGGATATACGGGGTTCGACTGTATTTCAATATAATTCAACATTACAAGTCTATGTAAATTACAAAAGAGCATTTGTTAAAGCTGTAAATCTCAAGCTTTATCTCACTTCTAAGACTGACGTCATAGTAAAGCATTCCTTGAACAGATAAATGATCAACTGAAAAGTTCTGGCAGAAGCAATCAAAACATTTCGACATGTTGGTAGACTGTCATCAGGAAAACTATCATGTGAATTATCAGCAGGATAAACACATGTAGCATCCAGCATGTACAGGAAGTGTCACTTGTTTCTCACACACTGTCTGTGGCTGGCTTACATATCAGCACTGACTACTTACCGGGGGACACGATTCTATACCACTAGTTCCACCGAAGAAGTATTCTTGTCCATACACAACTATACCGGTGTGCCATACTCCATCTATTTGTTTTCCTGAAAAGACAAAAGCAAAAGTTCCTTAAAAAATGTATTCTCTAAATATAATCAATTATGAAGCTGAGTGAGTGAGTGAGTTTAGTTTTACTCAGCTTTTAGCAATATTCCAGCAATATCACGGCAGGTGACACCAGAAATGGGATCACTTCTTACGACAAACATGGGTTGCTGAAGACCAATCCTAACCTAGATCTTCTAGGATCACAATACACTGAATGAGGGTGGCTCCATACATTATCCATACAACAGACCGCCTCCGTGGTGTAGTGGTTAGAGCGTCCACCCGGAGAGCTGAAGGTCGCGGGTTCGATCCCTGATCGCGTCATACCAAAATGACATGAAAATATGGTACTTGTTGGTCCCTGTCTGGCACTCGGCATTAATGGGTACAACAAGGACTGGTCGGCTCGGAGTCAGTATAATGTATCTGAGTGGGGTATTCATGCTTCACTGCGGCATGGCATCTCAGTGGGCTAGCACTATAAAACCAGCTTAAGTCTGGGCTAGTACAAGCAGCCGCGCATACACATACACATGCATGCACGTTGTCATATGAGCGAAATATTCTCAAGAACGACATAAAACCCAATTTCACCTCACCTCACCTATCCATACAACACAAATTATCATGAATATGATAACACGTCCAAAAAATGAGAGGTTGAAATATTTCTCAGCTAGAATATAAAAATAGCCCATGATGATATCAACTGACCTTAGGTTTTAAAACTGAACTATGTTTAACATGTTTAGTATAAATTGTTACTTTAACATTATGTTATGTTGTGTTGTGTTGTTGTGTTAAGTTATGTTAGGTTATGCTACAGTTTGTAGTCTTGCAATCATATGTATGTAATGGCAAACACATGATATATTAATATCGATAGTTACCATGTAAATAATATCACCAAAGTGAAATCAACCCTCATTTTCATCACCGAGGCATACAGTTTTCATTAATTTCAGCTCCCCCTAGTTTGCAGCCAAGGATTAATGCTATATATAATACAGCTATGATAAACATAATGATGACAGTAATGAAACACATGTATTTTGACCAACAACAGTGTTCATCGCGTCTGTACATTAGCGTCAAGTGTGAACTCATATTTCACTATATACTGTGGACCACTTAGTGGTATCGTGGATAGAGCGGCTGCCCAGTGGTTCCATCTTCAGCTGTCACCCTAAAATCGTTAAAATATGATATTTGTTGTTTCCATGCCTGGTAAGCGGCATAGGAAAAGGAAAGGTCTACTTGCAGTCACTATAATATGTGCGAGTTAGTGGTGGTCCGATTAACTGATATAATCGAAGATTGGTTGCAGTGTCTAAACGACCAAGCAATCGATCATGTTTTCTCACAATCGACCACAAACAATTTTGGAACACTTGTTTGCATTAACAATGTATTCACAGGGTTGGTTTTGTCTGTGTTATTAAATTTACATTTCATAATCACAACAGGCTCGTTACAAGTCTTCATTGAATTTGCACTTTGCACTTTGTGCAATTTGCAACAAAAAAAACCCCAAAGAACTACCTGTTTTTTGTGCATTAATAGACATAACAGGAACATTGTATATATGACACAAACTAATTATTTTAAATGATCAATGGGTTGTAATGGACCAATCATCAATTATGACATTTTAACCAATTCCCAACACTAGTGTGAGTGGTGCATACATGTTAAACTGGGGCAGGGTTTCTCAATAAGCTAGCAGCATAAATGCAGCATTAGTTTACACATGCACGCATGCATACATACATACACACCTCTCTAATATACAAGTTCAATATTAGGAATGACAAGTGTTTATGGATGATCAACTTTTTTATTGTACAATGGTGATATTAAAATGGTATAAGCATCTATACCGAAACATCGCCATTGTACAATAAAGAAGTAGATCATCCATAAACACTTGTCATTCCTAGTACTCTCAACTTCTCAAACAGTTCAGGTTCAATAGTCTTGAATGTGACTTTGAACCCCATTTTTGCCTCAATTCAATGTCATTTAATGTAGAACAGAATCAATTTACAATACAGATGCCCTAGACTTGCTCCAAGGCTCTACTGAATGCAAGCCCAGTATGTTAGAGAGACAATGTATTCTTTTTATTTATATTTTTTAGAAATTATCCTTTAAACTATCAAATATTACTTTAAAGGCTTATGCAAGTCTACAGATGCCCACGCTGTAGGTGAGGTATAAAAGTAAATATGCACTATTATTATTATTAAGAATGAACATTTAAGGATTCCTTGATGTATTTCTTTAGAAAATACCCATGGGTTTGGCCATATGCATATATTGTGTCTAACATTGTTTTCTATGGCATATTTCATATCTCACACAGAGTGACACAGAGCAGTACAACCACAACCTCACCAACTTCATCAACAGCTGTGTCGTGGCACTGTGCGTGTTACCGCTATCATGCATGACAACCATGTGTTAGTTCTGTATCATGTTACAGTTTGTGAAATGAGGTCTGAATGTGACATGGTTCCTTGTCGTAATAGGGATTCATCTATAACTGCTGGGAGGACAACATTTGTAAATACTTGTTTTGCAATTTTCATAACAAGCACTCAGTAAATAGCATCAGTACTCAGTATCAGATACATTCAACAGAACCGGATAAATGATGAATGTTTCTATTTCAATGTTGATTACCGTTATCAAATCTCAATTGTATGATTATTTATTTGACTGTTTCTAAAGGTAATCTGCACCAACCATTTTAACATGCACCAGGGCAGGTTGCAAATAGAGAAAACGCACTCTGTTACTCTTTAACTGATCAGAGCCCCTGTCAAAAAACAACAGAGATCCCAAAATATCACACAGGCATATCATGAGGCTCATGTTAATGGACACTTATCCCATCGCTTACGTGTGTATAAATATGTATTTTTGTATGTATCACGGTGCAGCTCATATCGAAGTCACACATCGCTAAGGAAGGAACAACATATGGATGAACCAGAGGCCCAGATAAGCTGCGTATCCGGGTAAAATACGCATAAAAACTTTCCAATTACCCATTGCAAAAATAATTGTTGCGTACCAAATACGCATTTAAAATGTTAGAAATGCAAAATGTTTAAAACAAATGCGTACAGAATATATTTATAAAAATCGCTTGCGTAATGAAAAAGACATCGATTGCTATCAAGTTGTACTGTTAGTATAGGACAAGTGTTGTACTGTCAGTACAGGATGAGTGATTTTTAATGAAATCATTTTCATTATATTTAAGTTGGTTTTGATTAGGTATGACATAAGGCAGAACATACCTGGTTAGTAAACTTACTCAATGACGTAATACTTAGGTGAGTAAAGTGACTGAAATACGCACATATTTGAAAGCAGTGGGTAACGGAAAATGAAATACCCACTCAACATTCATAATACCCACTCCAAAAAAATACAGTTGGTACAGTACCCACATGAGCTAAATCTTATCTGGAGCTCTGGATGAACAATTTCTTTATTACAGTAAGAGCAATGTTTTGGTGTAGGTTCTAACACTGTAAACAAGCCGTAAATGCCTCTCAAAGAAGTCCTGTATCACTGTTCAACATAGTTTGGGGTATTGTTTCACACTGAATGACTAAATATGTTTTGTTATAAAGTTCTAATGCTAAAACTGGAACCAGTTCACTCGCTACTTTTCAGAGAGGCATCTTTGGTGAAGATCAACTGACCTAGCTCTGTCTCAATCATTAAAATAAATGTGACGACCGTCTGAGTCCACTGTATAATCCTGACTATATGATAAACATGAGTTTAATCATGATCTATTTGCAGTGAGAATTTACACCAGGTCTATTTAACTTATTACATATGCATATATGATAATATTTACTCATTTTCGTTTACACTTGAAGACATACTCTAATTTCCCTGTTGAAAATAATTCACAAATCATGTTGTTTTGCTATGATTGAAACACACACTACCCAACTGAGCCAGTCAATACAGAGAGAGTGCACATGACTTAATTGTTCATTGTCTGAGGATGCTGATGTTTTAAGTGGTAGGAAATTATGAAACAGTAGCATTTATTTTGTGTGCTAGTGTAATTCTTGTGTTCATTTTCAAGTTCTATGTGTACAGGAAGTAGGAATTTGGGAAAATCTGCAGACTAAATTCCAGTGAGATGATGTTAACACAGGGGTAACGTATTTGAAGCAGTTTGAAAATATTGAGAGATAAATTATTCCAACATGGGTCTAGCTATCCCCACTTAGGTTGTGCATGATCTAACCAGTGAATGTGTTGACTCACAAGCTGTCACATTCTAGAAGGATCAAAGATCTTATCTGCTATGTCATCGCTACCAGCATATAATATATGTCTGGATAGATGCCGCCATTAGTCTGTTAGTCTGAGACTAGTGAAAATGTGCAAGGACAAGTTGTTCTCATACCAAATAATACCAGTTTACATAAGTAACAAGTCCAAAATGATCTGCAGAGTTACTAAGGTTGATATGAACAAAGATGTCTACCCCTGGCATTTATGTAACTTCATGAAGTATCTCATTGGGTTGGGAAATCGACTTAGGAGAACTTATAGTCATTACAGCATAGTAACAGGTCAAAATATATCACAATAATTATAATTTAGTACAAGTGATAGTTGGCTTATCATAATATTATCATAAATCATAAACTGTTTAAATAATAGATTCATGTCTATGAATAATAAAACATCGAATTAACACTCTATACTAAACACGATTACAAGAAAAGTATCAGACTTAAATTTTCTATTACACACCGTACGCAAATCATGTCAGTTACACCATCCAACGGGTAAATCTAATTAATTAAGTCGATGAATCAGCTGATCGAAAACCGAACTGTTGTGATTGAAAATTACAGCATGATGTCAGCGGTGCGTTCCGTCTGTGCCAGGCAGTGTTTCAGCCATATACTTGGAGTGACTTACCTATGAACGCCTGGGATAGTGAACGAGCCATGCCCTTGGATATATCGTAGACATAACATTGAACCGGGTACCCTTCTTCCTCCGACATTTTGACAGCGTGAGTCTGCAGGTTGTGACAACTACCGGTGTAGTGTAAATTTGACTCCCCTGAAATATCCGCGTAATTGGCGGAAACGGCGTACTGTTAAAGTAATTACCTTGGGAAATATCACCAATGTTTATCCATGTTATGGTGACCAGGTCGACAATATTTTAACATAATCAGTCCCTGAAAGAAATGTATGTGTTAAATAATAAAAACATTCTGTCAAGAAACCCTCAGTTCTTTTAATTTCTGCGGTAGCTTGGAATGGGATGAGAATATCATTTGTTGTAATGGTATGAGTTGTATTACAGTTTGATTAAGTCGGAAGTCTGATAATTATCAACTATAAAAGTGTTTACACTCTATGTACAGTAGTAGACGTTTGTGCATATTTTAAATCACCATTATTTTAACGTGAAGTATGCTGTTTTTATTGTATTCTGTAAAACTGTAAAAACAACTTTACTCCTTAATATGTTTGGTTGCAACATGTTGTATATCATTTGTAACCATCTACAAGTGTAAACTGTGTGCTGGGATGAGAGATAGTCTGGCTTAGCCTTTGTGGTCATCTGTTCTGATGATATGACTTGTACGCACAGTTAAAGTTTGACAATTATTTGTGATAGTATGTTATGGAAAGTACATGTGATAGTGAGATGATGATGGGATTCTGACAGACTGGAGTGTGTGAATTAAATAGGTGTATAAATGGATGTACGAGTTTGATTGATTAGGGAATATATATATGTATATGCATGTGTGTGTGTATGTGTATATATGTATATGTGTGTGTGTGTATGTATGTAGGTATGTATGTAGGTATGTAGGTATGTATGTGTGAATATATATGTGTATATATATATATATGTATATATATGTATATGTATGTATATGTGTATGTATGTATGTATGTATGTATGTATGTATGTATGTATGTATGTATGTATGTATGTATGTATGTATGTATGTATGTGTAGATATATATGTGTGTATGTGTGTATATATATGTATGTATGTTTGTGTATATATGTATGCATGTATGTATGTATGTATGTATGTATGTATGTGTATATGTATATATATGTATGTATGTGTGTGTGTATATATATAATTTTAAGCTTAGGTGTCTTTTCGGCCAGTAACGGCCCGGTGTGTTAAAAATGAATGTATATGTATTTTATCCACCTGTAGACATGACACCAAAATAAACTATTATTATTATTATTATTATTATTAATATCCCGAACGAATTGTTACGGAGACCATGCAGTGACAAAATGAAATATGAATGGTTATTTTCATTCAGCATACAAGAGAGGCGAGGACGACAGTTGTAATAGGAGTAGTTTTTGAAATATAAAATCTCCCATAATTCGAAGTCCTTGTCAGCAAATTCTGACCTGATTGTATATCCAAACCCTAAGTAAATCACCAGCTTGCCCTCAAGACTGACAGAAACACAGAGTATCTAAACATACTTATTAGTTTTGTGATGGGCATTTTAAAAGTTGAGTTGATGAAGAATAATGACAATTATTATGGATATACAACTTCTTAATTTATTCTGTGGAGGCGACGTTTCGACATAAGTTCTAATGTGGTTGTCAAGCAAGTGGAAACACTTCTTCTTCTTTTATTCTGTGCCTCCACAGAATAAAAGAAGTTGCATATCCACAATAATTGTCATTATTCTTCATACTTATTAGTATTGAAAATTGTGTGAGCATATATATATACTGTCTGTAAATCACAATGTAGTACTTCTACCCATGCTAGTATGTAATAGTGGTGATTTGTTTGAGTGACATTGTAGAAGTTGGTTGTATAGAGATGACAACACTTGACGGATGATCAGCGTCTTTATATTCACAATATCTAGCGACATTTCGGTATAGCTTCCTATATCCGTTTTCAAGCACATGAGCAAATGATGGGGTACACCAGTTTATATACAGGATACATGTAAATATGATAATGAGATAACAATAACAAACATGGGATAACAGAGTGGATGGTGGTCCAACTAATTGAAATAATCGAAGATTGGTCGCAGAGATTAAACGACCTAGTATTTGATCATGTTTTCTCATAATCGAACACAAACAAAAGAGAGTTCAGGGGGTTCGAACACCCCTTGGCTCCGCCAATGCAAAACATTGACTTCAGTGTGGTCTTGCGCCATCTCACCCCAACACCCCACCCCCCGCCAATGTATTTTAAAGACTCCAGGAACTCTATGTTCCTAACATATACGGGTCTTCCTTTAAAGAAATTTGTTCCTAAATTATAATAATTAAATATGATAAAAAGGCAGCCCAAAGAGTTACTTCAGACTGTGTGTGGCGGTGGGTAGCCTAGTAGCTAAAGCGGTCGCTCGTCACGCCGATGTCCCGGGTTCGATTCCCCACATGGGCACAATATGTGAAGCCCATTTCTGGTGTCCCCCGTCTTGATATTGCTGGAATATTGCTAAAAGCGGCGTAAAACCATACTCACTCACTTTTCCAGCTGTGGAAATCTAAGACTTGTCACATAATCTTGACTTGCATGGGCTTTCATGGGCATATTTCTTTGAGGGTCTGTGTGCTATTATAACGATAATGTAATACTTATTGCTGTTCTCATGCATATATTATCACCAACAATCGTCGCCATCATCAACACCATCGTTGAACGTCGTCATCATCATTGATAATTGTTTAGAATGAAATTATTCAAGTTCAAGTAATGATGTCTCCGTCTCTGACGCCTACATGAAATATGGAAATAACTATATAAAATGTTTTAAAGCATTGTGTTGTAGTAGCGTACATATGTTTCAAACTCATTTTATGTGCATGGACATCAAACACATTTACCATTGGACTCCCTGCCTGTTAAAACCACCGGGGGCGGTGGGGTAGCCTAGTGGTTAAAGTGTTGGCTCGTCACGCCGAAGACCCGGGTTCGAATCCCGACATGGGTACAGTGTGTGAAGCCCATTTCTGGTGCCCCCCGCCGTGATGTTGCTGGAATATTGCTAAAAGCGGCGTAAACCTTTCTGTTAATATTTGTTAACATAAGGTAGGATGCATCATACCTCTCTTGACCTTTCTGTTAACATTTGTTAACATAAGGTAGGATGCATCATACCTCTCTTGGCCTTTCTGTTAACATTTGTTAACATAAGGTAGGGTGCATCATACCTCTCTTGACCTTTCTGTTAACATTTGTTAACATAAGGTAGGATGCATCATACCTCTCTTGGCCTTTCGGTTAACATTTGTTAACATAAGGTAGGGTGCATCAGACCTCTCTTGACCTTTCTGTTAACATTTGTTAACATAAGGTAGGATGCATCATACCTCTCTTGACCTTTCTGTTAACATTTGTTAACATAAGGTAGGGTGCATCATACCTCTCTTGACCTTTCTGTTAACATTTGTTCACATAAGGTAGGGTGCATCATACCTCTCTTGACCTTTCTGTTAACATTTGTTTACAACCATAGTAGCTGGAACATATCTTTCTTCTAGCATCATCAGGATCATAAGCACACCATTTTGAAATCAGTCACGCGTTAATAAACTTCACAAACAATCACAGACGCAGACGCAATCACTAACGCAAACAGGGACAGTGAGATCACGACAGAAGCAGAAGGGCTGAATATGCACGTACATTCATGTTTGACATGGAATCTCATTTTGTCATTTTGGGATGTCAGGGCAGCTAATCAGCTTGTTGTTAACTTAATGTGCAATAGTTTTAAGTCATGAATAACAATCCGATATGTTGCTCTTCAAGACCAATTCAAGAAATCATGGTCTTCTCTTCCTGTAACTCTGGAAACATAAACGCAGAGCATGGCATTTCAATCAATCAATCTGTATTTCAGTACTTTGTTCATTTAGAGCTTACGTGAGTAGATAGAAGTCATTTATCAATTCTTTTCTGTAACAATACTTGTTCTTAATCTCATAACGAAATAGATGTACATTGCCAGATTCTGTAATAGTGATGTGGTAGTATCTGTTAATAGTGAAATTAATGTTCTTACACTTGGATGCTTATAATAGTATGGCTTCAGGTAGTTCGTTCGTAGAGTCGAATAAACAGGACAGAATAGAACGAGATGTAGTTCATCCTCAACAGTATTCATATTACATAATTGACATATTCTGTTTTCTCTTTGTATACCTGCATACCTGCCAGTTTCAATAAATAATTCATGGGAAGAGCAACGAAAACGAGAGAGAGCTAAACGGAACTTCTTTACGTCGATTTTTGCTAAATAGTGTTCAAAACGTATGTCCGATTTCCATTGATTATAGTATAAACATTTTGTGGATAGAAGTAGTGATTCCGACCAAGATTGGAAATACATATCTTTCATTCTTTGTGTAAATGATATGAGAAATACATACACGATTCAGGGGCGGATACATTATTTTAAAAAGGGGTGCACAGTTCATTTTCACCCGTTTTCACGGGAGTTTTAATGGTCAATGAATATACTTTCACGACAAAAGGGGACGTGCGTATCCCTGCACCTCACCTCTGGATCCACCTATGACGATTAAGCAAATTCTTGTAGAAGGCGTCAGTTTCGCCGGAGTGGTCAATGTCTCGTGGATGACAGAAAGGAACACACGCAACTTCTAAAAGTGTTAACATGTTGTTAACAGATAGGTTCACGGGACATGTGCGCCCATGATATTTTAACTAAGGTTTACATGTATATACATTTCAAAAAGCCTCGATAGACTTTATTTGGTAAAATAAAAATAGTAGGCCTATGGAGTGGTATATTAATCAAATGATGCGTGTCTTAGCACATGCGTCATGACACTCCGGTATTTAAACCTGTTGCCATGATTAGGGAAACATGTACGATATGCATGTCATGCATCTGCGATTTTATACAAGTACACGTGTTAGAAATTAGTTCTCACGATGAGTAAGTCACACGGGATGGGTGTTTCCTGGCTCTACCAAACAAGCCAGTCTGCGATCTGTGTACGCATGGTCTGATGACGTAGAACACAAGTGCCTTCATCTGTCAGAAAGTTAGCAGAAGCAGACGAGAATACTTAAAGTGTTATGCGACCGTGATACATTTTCCCGCAGACAGATCTGGTAGGTCAATACAGATTTCAAGATAGCATACTGAACGAAATAAGTAGTTTTACCGCCCTGCTCGGCCCAACTTGTTCCAAGGATATATTCTCCACGTAGAAGCCAACGGAAGCTAGGTTATCGTTAGGGTCTATATTTGGAACAAGTGTTCTTGAGGTAAACATAGCATTGTCTTGTTTGCAATATGCGTGGTCGCTCATGGAACTTGGAAGTCTTATCTAGGACAGTTAGTGTTTTGCGAATTTCCTGTGTATTATTGCGAGTCTTTATTTTTTTTCAAAGTCGATATTAACAAATATGATTTCTGACGTTCGTGTTTTCCTTTGCTAATCAGCAGTGACGGAAAGTTTTATGTTTTAGGGGTTAGGGTTTTTAGAAGGTTAATTTAACTCTTTAGGTGTTGTTGAATCACTGGCTGTTCAACAAACCCGTTGCTAGATTTCAGTATCTGTATGTGTGGACAAGTGTGGTGAGAAAGGCACGTGGTTATGGCGTTGGAATTTCCGGACTTAGCACATTAAGTGAAACCTGTTCCGTCGCCCGTCTCTGTATGGCTTGTCTATATGGGAAGAACGTGTAAGCCTCACTCTCTCACTTTCTGACAACAAAATTATTATATGAGGCATTATGACATCAGAAAAATATTACTCCATGCAAACAAAATTTACTCCATGCGCTAAATGTTTCCATTCTAATGTCCATTCGGAGAACGTCACCTGTTATAAATGTTATAACTATAAAGATAGCCGTCTCAGATTGTTTGTTTGTTGTTGAGCGCCTCATTTGAAAACATTTCAGCTCGATGACGGCGATATTCATATCATAGTCTGGACCAGAAAACTCCTGAGATTGAATACATGAGATTCGGTTCACTCAAATGAGATGACATGCAATTGGAAAAGTCACCGAACCCGATCACCCGACCAATTAAATCATTTAGACCCCTCTTACAAGCATATAATGTTTTTTTATTATGTGTTTCCAATACGAGATTATATCTTAATGAGTCACATATTTTTATTACGTCCAAAAGCATAACACTAAAACTGCATGAGCTATTTTACATTTAGCGCTATCAGGGGCGTAGCTACCATTATATACAAAACGCCCGGGCTTACACATGATTTTTGCTTAAAAGGTTGGACAAGCCCTCAATACTATCTAAATATAAAGCCTTGCAACCTATCGGGCTTACACGAAAAAAATTGGCTTGCTACTTGCCTGGCTATGATCCTATATCTAAGTGTTACTTATAAGTGAGTTAGTTTAATATTATTCCGCACTAAGCAATGAGAAACCAATGCAAGCGAGGTTTGAGAGATTTGAACCCAGTTTCGTAGATGTCCCTCCATTGGCTGTCTTAAAAGTTCCCCCATAACTGTTATGACGTCATCAATGGAGTCGAAATACCGAGCTGCCTCTGTTTGGGCTAGATGGAAGCCTGAGAGAGGTGAATGAGGTCGGCAGTGAAGGATCGATATTGGTGGATTGTTGCCATGGCAATATCATATGTCAACTGCCTTGGCGGAAGAGCACATCTTTTCTGAACCTGCTTCCCTCGGCATGCTGCGCTGGCGCTACAATGATCCAGGCAATGACTGCACAATGGCGGTCTCAACTGGCACACAAACATGGCGGACACACTCACTTTACAAAACTACCCAAAACGGGGGGTTAGAATTTGTTTAATCAATACTTTGGCTCTCCCTGCCACACTTTATCTCTGCTGTCAACGTCTTTAAAGTGCCATAGGAATGATCCTTCTCCCAAAGTGTTCATATCATTGCGTTTGGTGTTAGTCCTTTTCCTGCTAGACCGCCTCCGTGGTGTAGTGGTTAGAGCGTCCGCCCGGAGAGCGGAAGGTCGCGGGTTCGATCCCCGACCGCGTCATACCAAAAGACGTTAAAATATGGTACTTGTTGGTCCCTGTCTGGCGCTCGGCATTACTGGGTACAACAAGGACTTGTCGGCTCGGAGTCAGTATAATGTGTCTGAGTGGGGTATTCATGCTTCACTGCGGCGTGGTATCTCAGTGGGCTAGGACTATAAAACCAGCTTAAGTCTGGGCTAGTACAAGCAGCCGCACATACACATACACACGCATGCACGTCGTCATATGAGCGAAATATTCTCAAGCACGACGTTAAAGCCACTTTCACCTCACCTCACCTTTTCCTGCTAGTACTTGATCAATGCACTTTACTAAAATTGCCGAATTTCCAAAGGTCACAGAGCCCTGCTTATTTTACGGACTTCAGGTATTGTGGATATACCCTTATGATGCTATGTGATATCAACAATATTATTACATATTTCGCTTATACATGTACTTAATTTCATTCATGTTGAACCCTCGATTGTGACAATTTGTAATTTCAAATGGGAATACATATTACAAGAGCTTTTAGTCATGGGCAGATTATACTCTAATGAACTCTAATATGTTCCATGTAACTAATAAAGGAAACCTTTCTAACAACTAGTCCAAATAAGTCGTGGAGTAACTATCATACAATCATGTCTTTTCAAGCTTCTGTATTTTATCTGATGAAAACAATTAAGAGGTAGAATCTTATGGGGGTGTTCTATAAATGATGATGATGATGATAGTACAGACGTTTATTGCCTTATACCACCAAGAGAGGGCACGATGCCGATCCCACACATCCACCATCTGACCCAGGCGGTACCCCTGGCGCTTCTGTTCCTCCTGCTGCTGTTCATGGCCGCCTTCCTGGTGTACAAGTACAGCATGTTTTCCGGGAGCAAGGCCAAGTAGACGCTCGCACACGACCTTCTCTCATGGTGAGATGCAAACCTTCTGCTTAAGTGACTGGATTACTTTTTAATTTTTTTAAGAAATGCATTTTAAATATTGCATTAATTGACAAAAGCGATGGTCATACTGGAAGGTATCTGGTTAGATATCTCACATAATACTTCAGATTTGGTTAGATATCTCACATAATACTTCAGATTTGGTTAGATATCTCACATAATACTGCAGATTTGGTTAGATATCTCACATAATACTTCAGATTTGGACAGGGATAGATTTTTTTGAAAATCGGTTTTATTCATTTTCTCAAACTGTTACCACACGTTAGGTCACAGCAGCTGATGTATACGTTTGATTTGTTTTAGTGGTGCGATCGAGTAAAGAAATCGTTTTAGCTGTAACATTTGACGTGTTTTGAGCAAGGAAAAGCATTCATGTATTTGGGCCAAATGGTAGTATACATTTTGAGGTTAGAAAAAAAATCCCCAATTTTTCATCCTTAGTATAACATGTTGAATTTTGTGAAATCACAGTGCAGAGACGTTCTGGACAAACTGGTTTCCAGAATTAAATTTTGACTTGTGTCTATTTCAGATGACTTAAAGAACAAAGGACGCTCAGCTTTGATCTGACGTTTCCCCCCATTCGGACACGTTCACGAAACACCAGCGACAGTTTTGTTTTGTACACATAATTGGTATACGAACGATCTGGTTTGTACGGTTTTATTGGACTGCGAACAATGATGAAATGCAAAGCGATAGCTATGATGTAATTCAAGGAATATAAAAAGATGCGGAACTGATTTTGTGCATTATTTTTGCGAACCCACTTGTTATTAACTCATTGTATATACACACTGTTTCAAACTCTGAATCCGTCCTATTCCATTTCGGAAAATAATACATAATGCCTCTCGATACACGCCCTCTGTACACAATGTCACCAGAACGTATGTTATTTGCAGTACAACATGATTACCTTATCTTCTATCAACGTCTGTTATCGTACATCTTCTGAAACAGCTGTTGGTATTACACACTAATGACATGGACCTTATCTTATAGAAGGGCACGTGGACCGCACCACTGCTCATTTCGTTATCACATTACACGTAATTATCCAGGTAGGAGAGAGAGTACCTGAACACTGACGTGCTGTAAGTGATGTCGGATACCAGTATGGAAGATCGCTTGTTTCTTATACTGGTACTGGCGTTCCCCGTGGTCCACTGTCCCATTACATCTGTCTTTAACACAGATGGCGATACCGACAATGACTTGGGCAGCATCGCCTCCCATATCAACAGTCTTGAAGACCAGGTGTCTACACTACAGGAGCAGTTCGACTCCGAACTCAAGTCAGCCATGACGGATCTGGTTAGCGTGAGGAACGAGCTGACGCTGTGTCGAGATGGCCATGATAAACTCAGGACTGAGCTGAATGCCAAGTGTCAGATATTGAAGCTAGCGTCTGACGAACTGAATGTCACAAGATCAGAAATAACACGTTTAAAGGAAGAAAGCCGGGAAGTAAAAAACGCTTGTGTTGCTAATGCTCACTCACTTACGAATGTGTCGGAAATAGTTGGTAAGTGTGATTTCAGTATGGTTTATGTTCGGTCGAGTATGGGTGAGGTTGGGTGAGATTTAAGCAGTCGCAAAAATCGAGAACAAGGAGTGAGTGAGTATGGCTTTAACGATTGGGCTACCCTACCGCCTCCCTGAAACAAGGACTTACTTGGACAAAATGTTTATTAGGCTAAAAGAGATATTTTTCCGTAATCGGCACGTCAATCAGTTTAGTTGCCAATCAAAAATTGCACCTTTTCATATTTTTGGCGTTGTGTGAACTCAAGCATTCCCATAATATGAAATGCTGGATAACTGACAAGGTGGAATTCAGTGTGTGACAAGGTATGTTTGGTAGAAAAGTAAAACTAACTCAAAATATTGTCCTAGAGCACTCATTTTGAGAAGAAATATGCTCCAAATAGATTTCTTATAAACAAAGCAACATTCTCACTGGATTTCGTATTTAAAATGATGGTAAGAATACGATTGCAAACATGCATGGTTTGGTGTTGGAGTCTGTTTTCATTCCATTTCTACGATGTGGTTTCTTCACCTTCCCGTTATTAAGCACTTGTCATAATACTTTAGGTTGAATTTGTGTTGTTCATATAATGATATATCAATAATGATATTCAAAAGCTCATGACGTATGAACATCTCTCAAATGTTAGTAGTATGAAGTCAGATCTTCCATCCAACCATCAGGTTACCCTTTGAAAAATAAAATCTTGACATATATGACTTCTTCACCATTCTCTTTGCAGGTGCAATAAGTACAAACGTTTCATTTAAAGTTTCGTTATCACACGCCCTGCACCCTGTATACGACAAGGATGTTCTCAAATTTGACAAGGTTCGCGTGAACCTTGGAGGCCATTACCAGAAAGACACAGGAGTGTTCAGAGCACCGGCCAATGGTTCGTATATGTTATGGGCAAGCGTTAGACTTGCTGAACCCAACAGCTTCATCAACATCTACGCCCATAGCTACCACGGGGTCATTGGCCATGCTCATACGGAAACGTCAACCTCTGTAACACAGAACGTTGCCAATTTGCTGACGGTGACGTTCTTGAAGGTAGATGATGAGGTATGGTTCACCAAGGGTTCTGGATCTACCGTTATTCATGGAGATAAACGTGATTCCGTGACATCGACTTATGGTGGAGTTTTGTTGCGTCGGCATTAGCACATTGGAAATAAATCATCATCATAATGTCTTGCAAGCAAGAGGCAATGGTTAAATACATAAGGTAATCCGTAATCATCTTCAGATACAATTCTCCTCATTACCTACCTTGACGTATGAACCGTATCGGACGTTTTACTCCAGTGTAGTTGACAATAACGCCGTTAACGTCATAGCCGAAGTTTAACGCTGTGTGGATGACGATGACGTGTGGACCATAGCGGACATTTTACTCCTGTGTAGTTGACAACAACAACGTCGGTTACATCAAAGCCGATGGTTAAAGCTATGTGGATAACGATGACGTGTGGACCAAAGTCCGGTGTAGTTGACAATAACGCCGTTAACATCATAGCCGAAGTTCAACGCTGTGTGGATGACAAATGACGTGTGGACCAAAGTCCGGTGTAGTTCACAATAACGCCGTTAACGTCACAGCCGAAGTTTAACGCTGTGTGGATGACGATGACGTGTGAACCATAGCGGACGTTTTACCTATGTGTCGTTGACGTCACATTTGAAGAATGATGTGTCGTGTCTCGTATTAGATATCTTAAAGTAAGTGTGGACAACTTGACATCTGCAATCGGACAGATTACAACACAGATTACAAGGTCATGGTGAAGGTCAAAACAGAGGAAAGGACACTATTCTTAACTACATAATACCTTTTGATAATCTTCTTTGAGTCTGTTTCTACTTTTCCTTTAAGTTTAATCTATATACGACCTTGTGTTTAATTCCACACACCGACAGACGTAAAAATTATTACATATTTGCTCAAAGCTTATAGTTTTGGGACTACATTAATAGTAGATTAGATTCTTCGTCGTTGCAATAAACTGACGAACAAATTGAAGAACACACACCGGCTGGTTTGGAACTATTTCCAAAACACTATGACGAGGTCGTAAATATTTTGGAAAGTGTTGATAGTGACTTACAATTCAAACAGCTATATTGCCAGAACGTTCGGCTGTACAAAGCAGACCATCATCAGACTAAAGAGGCGCGCCAACCAGACTGACCAGGCATCTGGCAGTAACAAAAGTGGAAGAACGAGAGTGACCACTGCGCAAGCATTCGTGACAACTCGTGTTATTCCTGGACAAGCTCTCGGAGGTTAGGGAAAGGGGCGAGTGGTGACGAATGCCGGGCAAGATGACCATCACCTACGCATTTTGCATCTGCGCTCAGTGTCGTCATCATAAAAAATTCAACCAGACCACAAGGCTGGTTAGATGTAAATCTTGCCAGCCTTGACCAAAACTTACCTGCCCATAAAATATCTTCATATACATGTCGGGGCGGTCGGGCAGGCAGGTATTTCGAACGCTGCTGAATCGTCTACGGTGTCTCTGGTGATTTGGCAACACGTACACAATGTTGCACTTGTAATTAAGTCACAGTCAAAACACTTTTCAAAATATTTACGACCCTTTCGTTGTGTTTTGGAAAATAGACCAAAGGCACCAGATGTGTACTTACTTTTGTTCGTCAGTTTATTGCAACGACGAATAATATAATATACTGTCAAATTAAGAGGGGGAATATTACTTTTTGGGGTGATAATATTTGGGAGCCACGTTTTATGATTATAATTATACGGATTTAGAAAATGTTTATTCCCTTCACAGCGTGTTATGAATTTCTGTAAACAAGCCCTTTTTGTGCAAGCAGTTTAATGATGTGCACGTGAACATGGTCGGGGTTGAATTAAACATTTACAGTGATTCATGTCAGTGTGTTGCTGTAGATTTCAGTGATTTCAGTGATTGTCCTGATATTGTGTTAAACTCATGATCAATTACACGTTTTCTGACATATGACTACACACAGATGGCACTTTGGACTTCCTTGACAGGCGTGTGTGTGTGGCGTAGAAGGTACGAGCAGAAAGAATGGGGTGGAATGGAATGAACCAAGCAGACATTGATCGTTTTATTAAGGGTATGCCTCGTCGAATCTGGGATTGTCTTGAGAACAGAGGCGGATTCACGCGATAAGTATGTTTTTACACCGCCTTCTTGCAATATTCCAGCAATGTCAAGCCAGAAATGGGCTTCACGTTCTACCCACGTGGGGAATCGAACCCGGGTCTTCGGCGTGACGAGCAAACACTTTAAAAACTAGCGTATCTCTTTTTAGCAGTAAAACGCACGAAATCTCAAGGTGCGGAACACTGACTGCCATTTTGTATTGCTTTTATGTTATCCGTTTTGTAATCATACTATCTCTAACAAACAAAACCTCTGAGTCTGTTTTGATCCTTTACCTATAATGAGCAGTACCCGAGTTGACCACATATCTTCGGGCCAAAATGGCTAATAAATCCGATAATCGGCTGAAATACCAGCAATTTTGGAGACTCTTGGTTTGCCATGGTAACGAAAATACAAACAAAACAAAATCTGAATGCCAGGCGTTTATTAATCTTTACATACGTGATTTCTCCCTTCCCCCGACCTTCCAAGCTGATTTCAAGTTCCAAGGTTGATGAAAATGGATCTTTCTTTTCAATTTGAAACCAAACATGGACATAATCAAGTAGCTTTTACAGCACTGTGGGAATGTGCCATGTTTCCATTCAGCATGCTTCTAATACTCCTTACAACTGGTAGCATAACGGGTTCATTACAGAACGGATCAGTAATGCATTTGGGCACTCGCAATGTGACATTTTCCGTACCAATTGATTACATATGGCTTGGTGTCCGACTTGTGTTGGAATATTGGCATCTGTCTTCCGTCAACTGCCACCTGGAATGGAAACAAGGTGACGAGTACAGACCCAAGGAGGGTTGGTTGGTTTGTCGTATAACGTCGCACTCTGCAATATTCCAGCTATATGGCAGCGGTTTTTAAAAAATCGAGTCTGGACCAGACAATCCAGTGATCAACAGTATGAGCATCGATCTATGCAATTGGGATACGATGACATGTGTCAACTAAGTCAGCGAGCCTGATCACCCGAGTCCGTTAGTTGCCTCTTACGACAAGCATGGGTTGCTGAAGATCAATTCTAACCCGGATCTTCACGGGCACCAAAGATAAGGAATCAAAGAGTTAAACATGATCAGTTATATGTTTGCCATGGGTACCATGGTACAGGTACCATGGGACGTGAATACCAAGATAGTAATTTCGGGGCTACAGATAACGTGTTGGGTCATGGAGGTATGTACTCGCCTGTGTTCATCTCAATTGGGTATCCTAATTTTCCTTTGGGTAACCAAATACATTGTACCCACCTCACTCAAACTCAATTGGGTATTTTGCCATTTTCCATTAATTTATAAAATAAAATAAAGTTTAAATGTTAGTGTTTGTTATCTATATTTGATCTGTAATATGAGAAACGATAAGAAAGACTGCAAGTTGTCAAGTTCATGTCCTGTAACAGAACCTCTCAATATACCTCAGTTATTTTATCTATCCCCCGGTACGCAAGCTAAGATTTGACATTTTTGTGTGTATGCATGTAAGATCTCATTTATTGAGTACGTGTATTAACAAAACTTCAAGCGTAATTGTACGCAATTAGACTTAATAGGAATTGAGTTTTCACATAAATATTTGTGTAATTGACGGAGATACGCAGCTTATATGTTCCTCTGAATTTGTAATTAACATGAGGAACAAACTCAACTTACTTTAGTTTATGATATGTTTGACTGAATATTGGAAAATATCATCATTGATGTGATATAAAAAAGAACTGTATTCGACACTGAAAGAATACTTGGACATGGGTTTAGTTTGTATATTGTTTTTGTTCCAGTGAAAGATACAACTGCAGATGGGTTATCATATACATCGTATCTTTGTAGATGAATATATGCAGGCACTCACTTGGAACATTTTAACATCGGCTAAGGTCGTGTTGTAGCCAATTAATCTCTTACCCCAGTCTTTACTGAACTTAAAATATCACACGGAATACCCTAAGATTACCGTTTACAAACTGTTGCAGGAAAGGGTGCTGATACTATAGACATATTCACGGGCAAAAACTGTACGGGCAAATGAATGAATGAATGAATGAATGAATGAATAAATGAATGAACTAACTATAACTCGGTATATCCTTCTGATGAAATATTTGGACCACTGCGACCGGAAGCACCAAGTGTTTGCAAAATTAGAAAGCATGTGACTTTTTAACTACTGAATCTTTCACTCATTTAATTTACACTGAAAAGCGGTAGCAGTGAAAAGGTGAGTATGAACACCCCGGCCAAAGGTCACGTCGTGGACATGCGCAGAACGAGCGAGCTGATTGAGACTGGTCTTTCTTGGTGAAAATTTGATTGAAAGTCTTCTGTTAGATTAAAAACTACGTAGATATGCTCTAGATTTTAAATACCTATTTTCGAAAGCCTTTGGTAGCATAAATTATCTCTTACACCGATATTTCAAGTTATCTTTACTTCGTTTATACTTATGTAACTGCGAATATATTTTCGTTATATCAGATGTATTCTGAAAACTCAAAATGTCGAAGAAGGAATTATTTGGGAATACACTTTAATTAACGAAAACTTAATCCAGTTTACGAAAATATATTCAAAGTAACAAGTAACGAGTGAAAGCCGAAAGTCGCAAAATATATTTAATGCTTACGAAGTAGCATTATTAGGCTTTCGTAACTAAGAATGTGAAAAAGAAGACGCCATTGGTTGGTGCCGATCGAATAACTACACATACATATTACTAGTTAAAAAGCAAACATATACACCTTATGCTTCTGTGGCTAGCTATGTCTGATCCAAATTTGTACATTTGTTTTTAATTGTATGACTACATTGGGTCTTACACCCCTTTGAACAATGTTCCTGTAATATGTCAGCATGTCAGCATAAAGTGGGAGAAAAACCCGAAGTAACGAAGGTCAGAATTTTACCACTTCGGTAAAACCCATGAGTCGACCAACCTGGAAACATGACCAACTTGCATTGAAACTCACAATCATGGTTGTAAGCGTGTCCAGGGGACTATTTGTAATTGAAACGTTGGGACTGGTTAAGTTTACAAAGATGAACAGACAAAGGATGTTCGTTTCCTTTTCAACCAGACCATGTGTTTTATAATTACCCCTTCACATCCAAACTAAACATGTTGGTAACAGAGACACATATAAGTCTTAAAATGTTAAAATTGAATTTCATATATAATCTTCGTGTTTACCAACGCAATCAGCACACGAGCCATTACAACGTAAGGGTGATACAGAAACCCACCTCTTAGCCGGCGATTGAGTACTGGACATATATAATCTTCGTGTTTACCAACGCAATCAGCACACGAACCATTACAACGTAAGGGTGATACAGAAACCCACCTCATAGCCGGCGGTTGAGTACTGGACATATATAATCTTCGTGTTTACCAACGCAATCAGCACACGAACCATTACAACGTAAGGGTGATACAGAAACCCACCTCATAGCTGGCGGTTGAGTACTGGACATATATAATCTTCGTGTTTACCAACGCAATCAGCACACGAACCATTACAACGTAAAGGGTGATACAGAAACCCACCTCATAGCTGGCGGTTGAGTACTGGACATATATAATCTTCGTGTTTACCAACGCAATCAGCACACGAACCATTACAACGTAAAGGTGATACAGAAACCCACCTCTTAGCCGGCGGTTGAGTACTGGACATATATAATCTTCGTGTTTACCAACGCAATCAGCACACGAACCATTACAACGTAAGGGTGATACAGAAACCCACCTCATAGCTGGCGGTTGAGTACTGGACATATATAATCTTCGTGTTTACCAACGCAATCAGCACACGAACCATTACAACGTAAGGGTGATACAGAAACCCACCTCTTAGCCGGCGGTTGAGTACTGGACATATATAATCTTCGTGTTTACCAACGCAATCAGCACACGAGCCATTACAACGTAAGGGTGATACAGAAACCCACCTCATAGCTGGCGGTTGAGTACTGGACATATATAATCTTCGTGTTTACCAACGCAATCAGCACACGAACCATTACAACGTAAGGGTGATACAGAAACCCACCTCATAGCTGGCGGTTGAGTACTGGACATATATAATCTTCGTGTTTACCAACGCAATCAGCACACGAGCCATTACAACGTAAGGGTGATACAGAAACCCACCTTATAGCCGGCGGTTGAGTAGTTGACAGCATACTTAAATTTTTTTCCACTTTTGAAGGAAGATTTAACTTTCCGAGTCAACGAAAACCCCTTCTTGTTCACTTCACTCATGAAAGTGACCTTCTTTGAGAAGACCTTGAAAACATTACCGAGGAGAATGTTGTTTAGGCTATCTTGTACAGCCAAGGTACACCTGCAAGTAGAATTCAGTGTTAATAACTAAACGTTGATCATATCATTAGAATCAGTGACCCGAATGTTGGTGTGTTTGGAGGCAGGCTTCGCTTAAATATTCCACCTAGGAGTGAAACGGTATACCGCGGTATTTTGCCTTCTGTTCGGTGTAATCCAAAAATGCAATCCGCAAATTCGGTATTTTCGATTTTCGTACCGTTCTTCTTCCTGGTCATAAAATAAGAGTTTTGTTCATTCAATAAAAAGAAAGATTATGGGTTTTCCCATTTTATTAAACAATGTAAGGTTTGGCTTTTGTCAATTTTCTGCATTATGATTAGAACCGAACCGAACCGAAGGCCTTGTACCGCAATACGTACCGTACCGTAGTAAAAGCGTACCGTTTAACCCCTATTTTCACGTGATCAAAATCATTACTTCT